GTAGGAATCAAATACATTTTTTGAGATGCCTGATGATGATGATGATGTTCACAGATGTGAACTAGATCCATAGGAAATCATGTTAAATGGACTGTAGTGTGCACACTGAAATCCGCATAAGTTCATGGATTAGCTGCTCATTCTTTCTAGGGGTGAGGACTAAGCTCATACCAGGGACAGACTAACCATTCGAGCACTCTGGCACTGCCCAAGGGCCTGGGGTCAGTAGGGGGCCCTATGAGATGCCCCTGGTACCTTTCATTGGCTTTTTCATAGGCTTTATTGGGTGTGGGCAATGACACAGGGACACAGGGGCCCCATGATCCCCTATTCCCCGGGGGCCCCATGAGTTGTCAGTCCGCCCCTGGCTCATATTCACATGAGCTGCCGATCCTATGGAAAACAGCCTTTCCCAAGGTCCAGCGGTGGACTGTCCCTGTCTGTGGAGCACACATTGAGTGTGCTGCCATCAGGAACAGTCCATTTACAAGACTGCTGGACCGCGGAGAAGGGGGGGGGCAGGAGCCAAAAGGGCTGGTCTTGTGCGAACAAGATCGGCAGGTCAGTTGGGTATATCTTCGGTGTCTTCTCCCCTAGAACAAACTTAGGGCTGTAAAACATTAAAAAATTGCATAGCTATCCATCTATCAAAACTGCTGATACATGTGCAAATGGGTCAAAATTAAATATTCTCCTTCCATTGCCTCTACAGATTCAGTGTTGTTCATTCATAAAAAAATTGAGTGTTTGAGGAACATATAGCATTATGACCACTAGGTTCACCCAGAGATCACAGGAAATTATTTATTTCCTAAGACAATCAGCTTCATCTACTAGCTATAATGTGGTATTGTTTTAATTTGTTTGCACAGAACCAATGTACCAACAGTTTCCCTGGACAAATAGCTATGCAATTTTTTTTTTTAATAAATACACCCCCAAATGTTGTTTCATACTGAAATATTTATATTGGGGTTTTAAATATCTTTTTCTAGTTTGTGATGTGGGGCTGGGTGATTGGGTGATGACACTGATACTTCAATGCAGAATTATGAAGTTCTGGAACATGGTAGAGGCAATTTATCAAGAGATTCTCAGACAATGCAGAACAAATGAGGATGAGTCATATTTATTAACATTGTGTGCTTTTTGTAATATATTAGTATCAATAATATTTTAGAAAAGTGAAGTATTACTGCCACCTAAGTAACATAGTCATAGCTGACATTAGGGTTACCTAACCCACTATTTTGACAGATAGGTGGCTGCTGGCAATGTTCCTGTCACCCCAAGTGTACACAATGCACAGACACTGCTGTGCCACAGAACTGCAGAGTTACAATATATTACAATTATTTTTTACCTGGATTTATAGTATATGACAAAAAGAGTACATGTTTTATCCCTGGCTTTTACAATGTTATTGTCCAAGAAGAAAACTATGGCGTAAAGCCCTGGTGTCCAACCTGTGGACTGAGGACCGCATGCGGCCTTTTGGTATATGATGTGTGGCCCTCAGACCTCACTAGTCTGTAGTGGGAACATTGATTAGGGCAATAGCATTGATCTCTACTAGCCTCATGTAACATGTTCCTAGTTTCATATTGTCTTCTGCAGCATATCCCCAGCCAGAAATGTAGCATTTCCACAATCTGACCCTCATTTCCTCTAATAGGAATGCGGTTTCTGACAGTCCTCTCAAGCATTACATATATTAAACATTAAGTGTGACCCTTTGGTGAAGTCAGGGGCTGCATTTGAGGTCCCCTTTAGCTTATAAGTTAACAACCACTGATGTAAGGAGATACAGTGGATATAAAAAATCTACGCACCCCTGTTAAAATGTCAGGTTTCTCTTCATTTATTCAAGAAAGCGGAGACAAAGATAAATCATTTCAGAACTTTTTCCACCTTTAATGTGACCTATAAACTGTACAACTCAATTGAAAATCAAACTGAAATCTTTTAAGAGGGGAACTAAACATAGAAAACTAAAATAATGTCTTATAACTGGGGATGTAGCGGTGTTCAGAATTAAGCAATCACATTCAAAATCATGTTAAATAGGGTCAGTACACATCTGCCCTCATTTAAAGTGCCTCTGATTAACCCCAAATAAAGTTCAGCTGTTCTAGTGTGTCTTTCCTGACATTTTCTTAGTTGCATCCTACAGCAAAAGTCATGGTCTGCAGAGAGCTTACAGATAGCGTCAGAGGGATCTCATTGTTAAAAGGTATCAGTCAGGAGAAGGGTACAAAAGAATTTCCAAGGCATTAGATATACCATGGAACACAGTGAAGACATTCATCATCAAGTGGAGAAAATATGGCACAACAGTGACATTACCAAGAACTGGATGTCCCTTCAAAATTGATGAAAATATGAGAAGAAAACTGATCTGGGAGGATGCCAAGAGGCCTACAGCAACATTAAAAGGAGCTGCAGGAATATCTGACAAGTACTGGCTGTGTGGTACATGTGACAACAATCTCCCGTATTCTTCATAGGTCTAGGCTATGGAGTAGAGTGGCAAGACGGAAGCCTTTTCCTACAATGAAAAACATCAAGCCCAGATACATTTTGCAAAACCACATCTGAAGTCTCATAAAAAGCATGTGGGAAAATGTGTTATGGTCTGATGCAACCAAGGATGAACTTTATGTAATTAATTATGTAATGGAACGTAATTCCAAAAGATATGCTTGGTTCAAAAACAACACTGCACATCACCAAAAGAACACCATACCCACAGTGAAGCATGGTGGTGGCAGCAGCATGCTTTGGGGCTCTTATTCATCAGCTGTAACTGGGGCCTTAGTCAAGATAGAGGGAATTATGAACAGTTCCAAATACCAGTCAATATTGGCACAAAACCTTCAGGCTTCTGCTAGAAAGCTGAACATGAAGAGGAACTTTATCTTTCAGCATGACAACAACCCAAAGCATACATCCAAATCAGCAAAGGAATGGCTTCGCCAGAAGAAGATTAAAGTTTTGGAATGGCCCAGAGCCCAGACCTGGCCAGAGCCCAGAGCTGAATCCAATCGAAAATCTGTGGGGTGCTCTGAAGAGGGCTGTGCCCAGGAGATGCCCTCACAATCAGACAGATTTGCAGTGTTTTTGCAAGGAAAAGTGGCCAAATATTGCCAAGTCAAGATGTGCCATGCTGATAGACTCATACCTTTAAAAGACTGAGTGCTGGAATCAAATCAAAAGGTGCTTCAACAAAGTATTAGTTTTAGATTTCAGTTTGTTGTGCAACTGAGTTGTACAATTTATAGGTTATATTAAAGGTTGAAAAAGTTCTAAAATTATTTATCTTTGTCTAATTTTTTTACATCACAGAAACCTGACATTTTAACAGGTGTTTGTAAACTTTTTATATCCACTGTATAAGAGCAATTACATACCAGACACCTGTTAGTGGTTATAAGCAGCCTTGTCTGTATTGATCTCCATCCTTCAGCATATGGCTCTATGTACACCGACTTAAAAAAAAAAAAGCCAGTACTCTCGGCAGACACACAAAAAACGTTCAAAATGGTTTTTTTACTAGCGTTTAAGAGCATTTAGCAGCATTTTTTTCTGCCAGAAAAAATGCTCTCAAAAATGCAAAACAGGAGGATTTTGTTTCTGCCACTAAATGCTGAGCTTAAATGCCTCTAGACTAACTAATGTGCCTGGGGCACATATGATAACATTAGTTGCTAGTACAGGCAAAATGCTAAACTCTTCTAGAAGCAGCGCTTTTTAAGCCAATGTGCATGGAGCCTAAAGCTACATTAAACTTGCCATAGATGAGTATTGTTTTGTTCAGCCAACAGTTTGAATGAAAAAAAAAAAAATGAACAGATTCCTCCATCCACACCAACGAGGTAGATAGAGGAATTCTTCCTTTCAGGACAGCTGGACCCAGTGTTATCAGAACACACTGATCAGCAGCTGAGGCTGCTGATTGACAAATGTTTTCCAATTTGTCAGTGTGACAATGTAATGTTGAACAGGGATGGCCACAGCCTAACTGAAATATCGTCCAGCCCCTGCTGAACCAGCTGAATTTTGATCCGACTATGGCTAATGTATGTTAGATAACCGAATGACCAGTGACCTGCTTCTGCAGCTAAACACATAAAAGCCACACTAGTCTATTGAACTGTCTGCCCACTAACTTGCAGATAAATGTAAATACTGGAATGGGTGCTCCATGAGTGATATAGGAATGTGTAGCATATAATGGAGGTCCTATAAGAGATTGAGGTCTACTTGTTAAATATAAAAACAAATGAATAATTAATTTAACGCCAAACTATGCAAAAATGTCAGACAATTTCTAAACCTTCAGACCACCTTGTCTTAGATGAAAGAAAAGTTATACAATTGCATACACAGAGTAATCACATATAACATGATGCAAGCCAAATTTGTAAGTTTTTTTGTCAATGTGACTCAACTGATTTTCCACCTAAAGAGCAACAGAGACACTTGGTATGTTTGAATTGATGTATTTATAAGATTGCGTTCACTTTTCTGAAAGGTGCTAAAGCCATCAATGATAACTGCATACATATAAAAACAATAACTTAGTTGGTTTCCACAAGAAAAAAAAAAACACCCTTTATTAATAAAAGGGTACTTATAAGTAAGTTCTCCAGTGCCAATAGTCATGTGATCATCCAATATTTACTACAAGACCATAGAGTGAGCATATCTTTTCTGCAATAGGAGTCTTTTCTTCAGTCATTTGTTTAATCCATGAAAATCCTCTTGAAATATTATATACCAGATATTCTCTAGCACTGGCCAATTACAGTCACTGACCATAATGACAGCAGATATCACAAAAATGGATATTTGCATCCATGTGCAATGGTTTGGAATATGGCCAATCAATGGCAAATCCTATGAACCTATATTTATATATAGAGGGAAGAATATTTACACAGTTTTGACAGACACAATTTTTCAAGTTCCGAAATGAAAAAAAATGAAAGTGTTGTGGATCAGAGGTAAATGATATTCTCTTCTATCCGCCCATTTTCTATACTGTTTGGAGTGTCATTGTGGAGTGTTTTCATTGAATCTGAAGGCTGTGGTGATTGTGGGGCTCCTGTGTTTAGGTTCTGTGATCCTGTAGCCAATAATGTTCCACAGTAGATCACGTGGGCTGCATTCAGGTCTGAAACACAAGTCAAAAAGGTACATTATTGACTTATACGGCTCTGGAAACTGTTAATGCTCAGAGTTTACTATCCAATTCCCTAAAATTACAAAATCTTTCCTGTTTCATACATGAATAAACACTCCATATAACACAATATGCAATATACAAATACTGTATAAAATGTAAAAAAAAATTGCGAATAACAGTCTCACCTATGTACAAAAAGCTTTACTAAAAATATAAACACAATACAATCATTAGTGCAATATAAAAGACAATTACATTTGTGGTGAAAAACATATATTCCTAATAGTAATCCCCAAAAACCGTGTTTTGCAAGTGAATGGAGTCTCTGCAATCACCTTGAGCAACCGCTGAAAATAATGTCTTTGTGTAAATATACCCTGAAACAGTGCCAACATCCACTCAAGATGAATTTTACTCCTCCACCTTCATGTTCCCTCCTTGAAAAGGATCACCAGAAGAAATGCGACCTTGTATTTATAAAGGTCTGATGCACTAATGTTCAATATGTGAAAGTCAACGGGATGGTGACATGCCTTTGTCCCCTCAAATATCCCAACATAACAGCATGATTTTCCAAAAAAGCAGAAGGAGATTCTAAATAGTTTAACATTTCCAGACAGTTCCTTTAAAAAGAACTTCAGAATGACCCATCATCTTGAGCATCCCCAGCAGCTCTGATTGGACATAAGTGACCTTCTCATCTTTGACTGTCTTACCAGCAATGGGAGTGATAAAACACATGATCCCACCCTCCATGATGTCATTTATACTTAATAGTTAATTCTGTAACTAGTTTTGAATCTTCAATAAAGAATTTGAAAAAAAAACCCAAAAACTTCCAGACTTCCTTAGGAGAAGATTTTTTCTGTTCCTTTACTTTTTGACTTCCTCAGGAATGCATTGAAAGTGACTAATGACATTGGTACTTTATTACTTGCTTTGGAGATCAGAAGCAGCAAACAGGGCTGTATTGCTGGACACAGTCTTATGCAAGTGCATTTTACTTGCTTTTAACTTTAATAGACTGTTTTACATTATTTGGGATCTCCTTCTGTGCTCTTGGAAAATGATGCTGTTACTAAAGGAACAAAAGTATGTTATAATCCATCGGAATTCCACACATTGAACATAAGTACAGCAGACGTTTGTTAATACAAGGACGTATTACTTCGTTTAAAGGAAGGGGGGTATGAAGGAGTCCACATTCACCTTGAATAAAAGTTGGCACTGTTTTGGGTGTATTTGCACAAAGAAATTTTTCAACAGTTGCAGAAACTTCACAACAAACTGGATTAAGAAATGTATTGTGATATTCCTGAAGGCCTCGTCCACATTGCATCCAAAAAAAAAAAAAAAAAATGCATTTACAAGCGTTTTTTTATTTATGATCTGAATGCAGCTACACTGTTTTCAGTAGAGACATTCTCACAGGCGCATAAACATGTATTGCTTTCAGATCCATAACACAGAATCAAAAAACCTGCATCTGAGGATATACGTATGCATGTATAGCAGATGTAAGTACTGGGGAAAAAAAACAGGACAGTTTTACACAAATTATAGTATTTAATGATCATTATGCAAGAACTTTTGTACTATAAAAACATGCATAATAAGATCAGTAAAATGTTTATGCCCAAATAAATGTAGCCTTAAAAGAGAAGTATGGGGATTTGCTTTTTTTCCCAATCATACTTAGGTGGATCTAGCGTCGGTCCAGTTTTTACTACGGCTTTTTGCACTTAAGTAAAACTGTTCTTCACAAGGTTTTACATTTTATACCATTATTTATTATTGAGTTACACTCTGTAACCTGACATCTTACTGCATTATGAAGATCATAAATTAAATTAATAAGAAAAAAAAGCAAAACATTAAAATTTATAATCGTGCAGGTATAAATGTCAGAATTCCATACTCAAAAACATGATTTAATGACTGTACTATATTTCAGTGTGCATTAATAGGTCTTAAATCAAACATGTAGACTGCGATATACAACATCATTAGTCAATATTGCAACTTGAATCTACAATTATTCCATATTAGATAATATGAACCAAATGTGGAATTGCGAAATAATTGCTGAGTGATAAAATGTTTCAGTGGAATTTATATCAAAATCACATTTGGCATAGCCTTGTTTTCTGGGCTATATGCCCAGCCTTTCTCTTTGGTGTTTGGTCCTCTACAAAAGGACACAGCAGGCCAGTCAGTGTGTGCACTCCCTTATACCAGGGTAGCAAACAATGTACTGAGCTCATGCACAATAGATCCAATCACTCACTGAAGTGTTCAGTTTGTTACACTGATATAAACTTCATGGTGCCTGCAACATTTTTTGGCTGCAAATAAAACTCCAACTTTCCCAGGACAGCTCCAGGGCCAGGCTAAACCTGACCATACAAGGGGAAAATTTCATCCAATACCCGAGGAACCGGATGAAATTTGAGCTGTAGGTGGCCCTGTGGACATTCCTTCGATCTGAATATTGAAGGCGAGCAAGTAGAAATTTGTCATTTGAACAACAGCTGCATCCAATCAGATGCAGCCACTGTTCAAGTATTCTGACAGCCGCAGGTCTAACTATATTTAACATATATTTTACAACATTTAACTCAAGGATTGCTTTTATTGTTTACTTGTATATTTTTTCTGTTAGCATCAGCTTAAGGGCTTGTGTTGACGGGTTTAATTGCCAACACAGGGATTGATTTACTAAAACTGGAGTGTGCAAAATCTAGTGCAGCTGGGCACAGTAACCAATCGGCTTCTAATTTCAGCTTGTTTAATTAGGCTTTGACAAAAAAAGAAAAAAAAAAGTAAGCTAATTGGTTCCTACACAGCCCCAGTTTTAGTAAATGAATCTCACAGTGTAGGATGTGAAGAGCACATTATCTCTGAATGCATGCATTAACAAGAATGGAGGCATTTATTATTAAAATGACAAAGTATGTCTGTTTACCTGCAATTAAAAACATTTTTTAAGAAGCATTTTTTTTCATTTGCTATACATTTGAAGCACCTCAAATGCAACATTAAAGGAGAAGTATAGCTAAAGCTTGTTTGGCTGTACTTCTCCTGTGGATTAAGAAGTGCAGTTCATTCTGCACTCCTATGACCTGTTTTCAGACGTCACCTAGCTGGTCCAGACTGGAGAAAGATCCCAACCATATGGTTGAAATCCACCCAGGAGCCTGGACTAGCACCTGGCTCCTGGGTAGCCTCTCAGCAAGCCACTGAAAGACTAAGGCAGCCGCTCCCACCCCTTTCGCAGTCCAGCGCTCTGGGGAGCACTGTGGGGCAGAGCAGAGAACCAGAGACTGAGCGATCAGTGCTGTCTGATCACTCATTTCTCACCCTTAGTATCAGCGGGGACAGAAGCAGCATTGGATCGATTGGCATCCACCTACGTATAAATTAAAAAAAAAAAAAATTCCCAAACTTCTAACTTTTAAAAACACAACAATTTGTCAAAAAACTGTACCTGCAAAAGAAGAGAGTAAACAATCACCTCTCCCACTGCCCACACCACCAGATGTAGCTTTAATAAAGATAAATATTGGGCAGCACAGTGGCTAAATGGTTAGCACTTCCGCCTGGCAGTACTAGGGTTGTTGGTTCGAATTCCAACCACGGCACCACCTGGAGTTTGCATGTTCTCCCTGTGCCTGTGTGGGTTTTCTCTGGGTACTCCGGTTTCCTCCCACACTCCAAAGACATGCTGGTAGGTTAATTAGATCCTGTCTAAATTGGCCCTAGTATGTGTATGTATGTAAGTTAGGGACCTTAGATTGTACGCCCCTTGAGGGTTAGGGACTGATGTGAATGTACAATATATATGTAAAGCGCTGCGTAAATTGACGGCGCTATATAAGTAACTGAAATAAATAAATATTCCCCTGAAGTCTGCTAAAAAACTGACACTTCCTTGAGTGTTGATCACCTCAATCTCCTGGTCCCTTGCTGTGCTCAGTGGTTCCTTCCACTGATCGCCACATCACTGTAATGCCCTGCAGTGATGTGGAGTTTGTCCGGAGGTAAAGGAACTCAACAATCAAAGCGTCAGTTTCTCTGCAGATTTCAGGGAAGAGTGGGGGAGTTGCGTTGCCAGTGCATGGCGGTGAGTATTTATTTGTAGGAAGAGCTTTTAGTATAATTTTAGCTTCCTTGGTAGGTCTCTGACAGCGTTGCCAACCTACCAGATTGAAATTCACTGACATGGCACACAAATTTTACTGGCATGGCCAAGTTTTTACTAGCATTTTTAAAAGTTACAAATTCGTTTTAAGTGTAAATTTCAGTATTTAGGCTACAAAAGAGTACAATGTGCAATTAGCAATGTGATTTCAGGTAGATATTAAAGCAAAAAACATTTTATTTTCAATATAGTAAGCAAGTACCTCAGGGAAAGGACTCAGGAAGGCAAGAAATTAGAATGGGCGTGCGTGCACACACACATACATATACACACTTCAAAGTGACACTGACAGCAGTGTGCAGCAGCACAGATGATGAAGACACCTCACCAACATGAAACATCCCCTTCTGAGTCACAGTGATAGTCTCTCTCCATGTCAGGTGGTCCACTCCAGTCCGAACAGCACTGACTGTCCCCTTCCCGGCTTGCCTTGCTGCCATCCCACAGACCCACACAAGGCTCCGGCCGCTCCACATGGCTACCTTTCACCCCCCCCTCCCTCCGCCAGAGCCCTTAAAAACACTGTAGCAGGTACTCAGATGGTCTCGGCCGGCTCTGGACTGGTACTGCGCATGCGCAGTTCTTAGCCAAGTGTCACAGCCATGTTTTTAACTGGAAACCTTTCCCTGTCACTGGCATTTACTGGCAGGAGAAAATTGGCCATTTTTTACTGGCTGCCAGTAAAAATACTGACGGTTGGCAACAATGGTCTCTGAGAATAAAGACTTATTATAAACTTACAAATTAGAATAAATCTTACAAATACCTGTTCATGACTGGCTCTCTTAAAAGGGCATTTGCTACAATGGGCTGTATCATGGATGCTCTTCTGGTTTAAGAAAATAAAAAGATGTGAATAGGGCCTAAGACAATACCATAAAACAGTAAACTTTTACAATGAAATAGGAGTGAATGTTGCCTAAAGAATTACTGAACAGTCTTCCATCTTCCCTGGTTTCCCTTTAAGATGCATGGACACATGCAGTGCCCATGAAACTGGGCCTTAATTGCAGGATATAACCTTTATTGCACACTTCTTATTTACCGTTATTACAGGCATCTTTATTGCTGTGTCGGGAAGAATTCTCAAGCCTCTGCTGTCGGGAAATTAAGGAGCGCCAAGGTTCACTAGAAATATCCACAGGGCTGCTCCCAGAAGTCTCTGCAGAGTCAGAGGCGTGATCCGCATAAGCATCCGAGTAAGCAGAGTTGGGATGTGCCGCCATGTTGTTGAGCGATATCTGAGCCAGTGCGTTGTTAATGCAGATGGAGTCTTCCATTTGTAAACTGTCAAGCTGGGGGTTTCATCTTGCACCCTATAACATGAAGAGGAAAGCGAGAGTCAGCTCAGCTGTATAGTTTACAAGAACCAGAGAAAGACTTAACACGTCTGACTTTTTTCTGACACGTTTTCTTATAACCTCTGTCCTCGCTTTATTAAACTTCTGAAATTCCTACTTCGTATGAGATTTGTTCATGTAAAGCAATACCATTCGCTACAGTTTTGTGAAAATCTTCACACAGGCCTTGCTGTAGTATATTTCTCTGTTTAATGAGCAGGTCATAAAATTAAATAACAGTAAATAACCACGGTGCCATTTCAAAATTATAGAGGTATTTGTATTGTCAGACTTCTCACAAGACACCTTCAAACAAATTGGTAAGAGTTGAATTTTACAGGTGGACAAAATGGAAGCTGCTTGGAGCATACAACTTGTGTCATTATGTCTTTAATAGGCACACACATTCTTCCATTAGTCAGCTGTTTGATGACAAGCACACATTAGCTAAAGGATATTGGAGACACACAAAAGAAAATGTAAAGCACATAAAAAGTCTACAGGACATAAAAAAGTCTTCTGTTCCATTGGTTTTGACTACAAATATATGTTGTAAACTTCTAATTCAATGTGTTCTTTAAAAAAAAAAAAAAAAAGCTCCTCCAAAAAGGTATACCCTATTTTTAAACAAAAAGCAATTATGTACACAAAATTAAACAGAGTGATATAGTACAATATCCTTTGCATGTATGCTCTATTTAGTATATAGTTGAGCATCAACAGTATACTGGCCCTACTTACATCAACAGTACATCCAATACCATGACAGGTACAGAAGGTATGAGCAGTATGAGACAGGATGGCAACAGTGGAGGATTCATACAGGTAATTCATTATGCTTGATCAGATTCACAATATTTTATTATTCCCATAAGGAAATTATTAAGACCTATTTTTATTTTAATTCTGCTCACCATAAACTTGTTCTGTAAACCTTAACTTGTTAAATAATTCACTAGAGCAGGTAGTGAAACCACAAGGCTCGATGTTAGGAATACTTGCACCCAGTAGATACTTTATTGGGTAAGCAGTTTTTTAAATCCTCTGGTGTGTTGAATCTAGGTGTAAATCTACTACCAGAAGGAGGACAATAGAAGAGTTTTCAAGATTGCACAAAACAACTGGGTGCATCCACAGACTCGTTTTACTTATCCTTCAAATTGTACCTTGGATTACTATAAATATTACTGCTCTAAAAATTTTGATTTTATTATATTTGAATTATGGTGTGAAAAGGTGACCTCTGTGTCTTGTTCCTGCAATGCCACCACCTTGCAGCACTTAGTCATACCCACAAAGGTCCACAGATCATATCTCGGGACCCAGGTAGATGGTCCTGCATGGTTGTATGAATGAATGACTAGATGAACAAGGAACAAGTATTGCTGAGATCTATTTTATATAATTATAAAAGGAGAGACATGTCTACCAAGTCCACTCAAAAGACAAAAATAAATGCATTTGATTAAAAGACCCTCCAAACTCAGAACAATAAACCTATAGTCAATCCAAACATTAATGAACATTCATTGCCATATATTAGTATTATACCAGTAAATGCTAGTCTATCTTTAATGATCAATACCTCTGTCTTTTGGTTTGGAAATAAAATGGGCAGGCTGTTCTGACGAACATGTTTCCAGTGCTGGAGGAGCTTGTGCTGTACACAGAGTTCCTCCCTTTCTTTCTCCACCAGCCTCTGGCCTTCCTTCAGTCTCTCCACATTTTGCTGGAACTCCAGAAGCTGTTGGGACAGCTCTTCTCTCTTTTCCTCCAGAAGCTGCACCTGGTTCTGCCACTCTCTCTCCCATTGCTGAATCAGGTTCTCCTTCTCCTCCAACTCCTTCTCTTTTTGGTCACACTCTCTGGCCCAGCGCTGCTGTTTCCTGTTGGAATTGATGCTGAAGTTTTGCCACCTCTCCGCGATGTTTTTCTAGATGGCGATATTGTTCCTGTAGGAGGGACCCACGGAGAGCATAGCCTCTACCGCTAGGCTCATGGTCCTGATGTAGAACCTTTGTTAGTTCTATTTGGCTGTCCTGCATGGCTACAGCAGCCTGGCAAATGAGACAACAAGTGAAATTAACATATTACGACAAACTTTAATGGCTATAAACATACATACAGTACATATTAGTAGCAAATATAATAGATCCTGGATAATTCACGCTGTGGATGCACAAGGCTGAAGAATGTTTCTTAGATATTTCTGTGTAGATTCTCCTTGGTCACTGAGCCAGGTAATCAGGCCTGCAGCACAACCATCCATAGAAATGAAAGAAGAGTTGTGAAAAGGAGCCCAGACTTAGACTAAGGCCAAACAACTAAATATTGGCTGTGATGATAGGCAGAGCTGTTTCTGGCAGAAACAAATCATTGGTGCAAACACAATTAGAAGGATATGCTGAAGAGGTGCTTCAGCAGACCCTAAGGACTGTTTAGGGGTCTTTTATCTTTTCCAAAAAGAGACCTGAAAAAACCACAGCTTGTCCACGATTTCAGTAAATAGAACACCTTTTCAATACTTATTTAGATAAACATATTTAAGTAAAGAAACACATATTTATATAAATAATCCTACCAATGTGTGTTTTTTAGGCTCGGTTCCCACTGGCCTGATTCTCAAGTCACACGGCTTTCCGTAAAACTTTTCAGTCTGACTTTGATACAACTTTGATGTGTTTTTTTATACTTTGCGGCATACCAAAGTCGGACCAAAGTAGTGCAGGAACCTTTTCTAAAGTTGGACTGACTTTGGTATCAGTTAAAACAGCTGTCATAGGGAAACATTGAATTTCATGTCACCCACTTTGGGTTCCCACAAGTCGGATCCTATGTCACAGATGCGTGAACCGAGCATTAAAACACTAGTTACTATATGTGATTTATAAACATAGACACTTATTTCTGATTTTGCTACACAGTGGTTGTGCTTTACTGCTCCTTTGCAGAATGCAAGTCCCTGTGTGCCTGACATCTAATCTCAGCTGTTGTTAAAGCATATTGAAACTCAAATACAAAAATCTGATAGATATATTGCAGTTAGCCAGTCCTAAGGCAAGTTGGCTGCATTACTTTTGTGTTTTCTGGGTTTTTTCAGTTTTGTTTACTGTGTTTTCTAATCCTGTAAATACATTGAACCTATGGAGGGAGCCATGGTAGTCACTCAGTGGTGTATTTAGATTTTGTGCTGCCCCAGGCAACACAAACATTTTGCCCCCTCCCCCCAATGAGAGAGCGAGAAAGTTCAATGAGTGTGTGTATGTATATATGATTCTCTCTTTCTCCCTCTCTCTCTCCTCTCGCTCTTCCCTCTCTCTTCCGTCTCTTCACTCTCTCAGATCGTATGGGACAGCACACACACACAGTATGATTACCCCCCACATCTCTACCAAGGGCTGCTGATCTCTGGGCAGCAGGAAATGTGGGCAGGAGGCAGTAATCATACTGTGTGTGTACAGTCCCATACGATCTACCATGATGCACGGACGACAGGAGAGAGAGCCCAGAGAACACAACACAGCTCACCTCCTCAGCTACTTCTCTACCTGCTCCAGGCTGTCCCCTGGCCCTGAGTGTGGGCGGGGGAAGGAGCTCAGCAGAGAGCGACCATTCAGGAACACCAGGGCACCCCCTCCATCCAGCCAGGTTTGTCTCTCCCTCCAGCAGCAGAAAGCCGGCGGGAGGGAGAGGGGAGGAAACATCAAACTGGCTTTCAGCTGCTGGAGGGAGAGATACACAGGGCATCCTACAACTGCTCTCCCCCACCACACCAATCCTCCTGCTGTCCAGGCCACCTACAGGAGAACCAGTAGTACCCCTCTGATGGTGGCCCTGCAAGGCTCTGTCCTCCACTGCTCAACAGGTCCCTTCTTCCGGAGGGTGGTGCCACCCCTCTAAAAATTGCCGCCCTAGGCAAACACCTTGTTTGCCTTGCAGTAGATACGCCCCTGTAGTCACCCAAGCAGGACATCAAACAGGTCTGCCTTTGTTCATCCCATTACATGAGGAGTGAGAAGATTAGTAGCTCACAGAAAGATAACATAGTTTATGCTTCAAAGGATCAACAGGTATTGTTTGTTCTTACTGAAAATGTTCTCAGCTCAAAAAAAGAATGGAAAAAAAAGGTAGTATCAAAAATTAATGTGAAGCAAATAATGTTGAAATATGTGCTAGCTGAAAATACACTATACTTTACACTGCAACGTATTCTATATAAAACTACAAACTACATTTTTCTGTAAACAGAATAGATGGCCATAGATGGTTCAAATCTCAGCCGGTTTCTAATTAAGTGGCCGAGAATTTAATCACGTAAAGGCAGGCTGAATGTACCCAAGTTGATCGATCGATCACAGCTTGGGTACAACCAGCCTACCGGATTTTACATGCAATTATTGCCAGTGGTTGTTATAGCCGCTAGCAGTAGTCACTGTGTTCTCCCGGCAGGGACAGCTCCAGGAGAACATCATTGCTCCGCGGGAGGGATTCCCCTCTCAACACTGTCTGTGGTTGCAGGAAAGACATTTACTCCATCTATGACCTGCCTTATTCATGCTATGAAGGAATTATCATACCCTAAAATGACTAATAGCAAGGCTACAAAAGAAGAAAAAAATTATTATACTGAGAAATAAGTAATAATTGCAGAGTTCATGGAGCACAACTAGTGAGGCAAACGATCTAACAGTTTAAAATTGAATCCAGGAAACACATAGCAAACCCAGGGGTGTGTAAATTTTTGAAAAAACTACTTGCCTAGGGACTAAATTGGTGCCCCAATCTACTTGTCCCTTATGACAATCTACTTGTCCAGATAAAAAAATAAATACATTTTAACCAAAATTGTATTTAAATCGGAGGTGATATTAGGAATGTCTGGGGCTTTTAAAAACAAAAGGGGCTTTATGGCAACTTAAACGTTTAATATGTTTAACATTGCGCTGTTTATCTCCTCTTCCCCTCCCTGCCTGTCTCCAGCACCGCACCCAGGGACTAGCAGGGAGGAGAGAGACCTTGCAGTGTAATGAGCACCAGTGTAATGAGCTGCTCCTCAGGAAAGGGTATAAAAAATAATTTTAGGCCTGAAGATTACATAAAACCCCCTAAAATTATATATTTTCTGAAAGTAGAGACCCTAGAGAATAAAATAGTGGTAGTTCCAATTTTTTCTGTTGCATGATATTACCGCAAAATTTTAGTCAAAAATACAAGTTAATTTTAGGGCACAAAAAAGCAATAAATTACCCTATTGTTTTGTAAAATATAAAAGATGAGGTTGCAGCGAGTAAATAGATATCCAACATGTCAAACCTTAAATGTGTGAGTGCTCGAGAAATGGTCACGAACTTCAGTACCCTATATTTTCTATAGATGACATTTTTAAAGCTCCTTATAGGTCATCAGTTCAGCGTTACAGAGGAGGTCTGGTGCTAAAATCATTGCTCTCACTGTGGCGTGTGCGATGATATGTAACATGTGTATCACAATCGATGTTTTCATGCATAGGCACCCCAGCGTGTCCTTTTAAGTTTGTACATGCATCCATGTGGGGGTAAGGGGCCTCAATTCTTTTTTTAGGGGGGATGGTATGTGCTTGGGTGTAACTAATTTTTTACAATTTTTTACCTAAGATCACATGTAGTTGCATGGGTATCCAAGGTGTCTCAAGATGGCATCCGACCGGAAGTGGGTCACCGCCGACGTGTATCGTCACGCTTGTCATGTACTTCATCAGGGTTCTAACACCTTGGACACCCATGCAACTACATCTGATCTGAGGTTTGAACTAAATGCGATGGGAAAGATGATTTACAATGCGAGAGCATATTAGATTGTATTAGTGGCTATTTACCATCTTATTGCCTGGAGAGATCTGCTGTCCTGTGAGCCTGTATTTGGGCCTATAGTATTTGTAGCTGCCGAGTTCATTTTATTAAAAAAATGGGTGACATTCCTATTCAACCCAAGATGTTCTATATATATGGCAATTCTGGTTGAACCAAGTTCTTTATACATATAGAAAGCCATGAAGCAAACATACCTGGATACTGTATAAAAGGCGAGTCAAGTTTTGAACAGTTTGGAAAATCTAAAGAAGAAACAAAAGTAATAAGGGTGATTATCAAAGGTATTTTTCTGTTTTATAACAAGTAAAATCTAATAATTTTGCTCTGAATTAGAATGTTCAGTAGTAAACAGACAGAAGACAGTAGATTGTGTGTGTGCTTTTTTACATTAAGCCCTCCCTCCATTGTCATGCAAGTTGACAGATCAAAGTGGCATGACGTCACAGCCAATTTGCCGCTATGGAACCATTCAAGTGACTTTGAAAAGGTTCCTGCATTAATTTTGTGTGATTTGCATTGACATTTATTATAAGTACATATATAGCGCCGTCGTTTATGCAGCACTTTACATATATATTGTACATTCACATCAGTCCCTAACTCTCAGGGGGTGTACAATCTAATGTCCCTAACTTACATTCATAAACATACCAGGGCCAATTTAGACAAGATCCAATTAACCTCTTTGAAGTGTGGGAGGAACCTGAAGTACCCAGAGGAAACCCACCCAGGTAGAGGGAAAACATGCAAACTCCAGCCATGTGGTACCATGGTTAGGATTCGAACTGATGACCCTAGTACTGCCAGGCGGATGTGCTAACCAATTAGCCACTGTGCTGTCCCATCTGTGTATGAAGTCGCACTGCTATCGGCAAGTCGCAAATGGAGTTGCACTAATCGGCAGCTTTGAAATCGCGCTGAAGTAGCACGACTTCAAAGTTGATCCTGGTGTAAACCGGGGCTCAGGGCCTCTACAAATGTTTTATATATTTGTTTATATACGTGAAATAATCAACTTTATTACCAATACTATTGTTTAAAACATGGTTTTGTTGCATCTTTTAATAAGCATGCATATTGGAACAACCAGCACACTACATATACAGGCTGTGCTACTGATTTACAAGCAGTCAAAAACAAATGCAATTCTGATATATATTAGTGTGGTATTAGGTAGGCCAAGTATCCCTGGTGGTGTGCGTATATACACTATATTGTCAAAAGTATTGGGACACCTGCCTTTAAATGCACATGAACATTAATGGCATCCCAGTCTTAGTCCATAGGGTTCAATATTGAGTTGGCCCACCCTTTTCAGCTATAACAGTTTCAACTCTTCTGGGAAGGCTGTCCACAAGGTTTAGGAGTGTGTCTATGGGAATGCTTGACCATTCTTCCAGAAGCGCATCTGTGAGGTCAGGCACTGATGTCGGACGAAAAGGCCTGGCTCGCAGTCTCCACTCTAATTCATCCCAAAGGTGTTCTATCGGGTTGAGGTCAGGATTCTGTGAAGGCCAGTTATGTTCCTCCACCCCAAACTAGCTCATGCATGTCTTTATGGACCTTGCTTTGTGCACTGGTGCAGTCATGTTGGAACAGGAAGTGTCATCCCCAAACTGTTCCCACAAAGTTTGGAGCATGAAATTGTCCAAAATGTCTTGGTATGCTGACGCCTTAAGAGTTCCCTTTACTGGAACTAAGGGGCCAAGCCCCACCCATGAAAAACAACCCCACACCATAATCCCTCCTCCACCAAACTTTACACTTGGCACAATGCAGTCAGGCAAGTACCGTTATCCTGCCAACCACCAAATCCAAACACACCCATCAGATTGCCAGACAAAGAACTGTGATCTGTCACTCCAGAGAAAACATCTCCACTACTCTAGAGTCCAGTGGCAGCATCCTTTACACCACTGCATTTGACACTTTACATTGCACTTGGTGATGTAAGGCTTGGATGCAGCTGCTCGGCCATGGAAACCCATTTCATGAAGCTCTCTATGCACTGTTGTTGTGCTAATTGAAGGCCACATAAAGTTTGGAGGTCTTTAGCTATTGACTCTGCAGACAGTTGGCGACTTCTGCACACTGTGCGCTTCAGTATGCACTGATCCAGCTCTGTCATTTTACGTGGCCTACCACTTCTTGGTTGAGTTGCTGTTGTTCCCAGTTGCTTCCATTTTGTTATAATACCACTAACAGTTGACCGTAGAATATTTAGTAGCAAGCAAATTTCACGGATGGACTTATTGCACAGGTGGCATCTTATCACAGTACCACACTTGAATTCACTGAGCTCCTGAGAGTGACCCATTCTTTACAAATGTTTTCAGAAGCAGTCTGCATGCTTAGGTGCTTGATTTTATACAACTGTGGCCATGAAAGTGATTGGAACACCTGAATCCAATGATTTGGAGGCGTGTCCCAATACTTTAGGAAATATAGCGTATGTGTGTGTGTGTGTATATATATATATATATATATATATATATATATATATATATATATATATATATATATATATATATACATACAGTGGGGATCAAAAGTTTGGGCACCCCAGCTAAAAATTTGTATTAATGTGCATAAAGAAGCCAAGGAAAGATGGAAAAATCTCCAAAAGGCATCAAATTACAGATAAGACATTCTTATAATATGTCAACTAAAGTTAGATTTTATTTCCATCATTTACACTTTCAAAATAACAGAAAACAAAAAAATGACGTCTGCAAAAGTTTGGGCACCCTGCAGAGTTAATATCTTGTACTGCCCCCTTTGGCAAGTATCACAGCTTGTAAACGCTTTTTGTAGCCAGCCAAGAGTCTTTCAATTCTTGTTTGAGGTATCTTTGCCCATTCTTCCTTACAAAAGTCTTCCAGTTCTTTGAGATTTCTGGGCTGTCTGTCACGCACTGCTCTTTTAAGGTCTATCCATAGATTTTCAATTATGTTGAGGTCAAGAGATTGTGAAGGCCATGGCAAAACCTTCAGTTTACGCCTCTTGATGTAATCCCCCATGGATTTCGAGGTGTGTTTAGGATCATTATCCATTTGTAGAAGCCATCCTCTCTTTAACTTCAGCTTTTTCACAGATGGCATCAAGTTACCATCCAAAATTTGCTGAAAGTTTATTGAATCCAGTTTTCCTTCTACTCGTGAGATGTTCCCTGTGCACTGGCTGCAACACAACCGCAAAGCATGATTGATCCAACCCCATGCTTAACAGTTGGACAGAGGTTATTTTCATTAAATTCTGTGCCCCTTCTTCTCCAAACGTACCTTTGCTCATTCCGGCCAAAAAGTTCAATTTTAACCTCATCGGTCCACAGAACTTGTTTCCAAAATGCATCAGGCTTGTCTATATGTTCATTTGCAAAGTTCAAACGATGATTTTTGTGGTGAGGACGTAGAAAAGGTTTTCTTCTGATGACTCTTCCATGAAAACCATATTTGTACAAGTATCTCTTTATAGTGGAATAGTGTACCACAACTCCAGTGTCTGCCAGATCTTTCTGGAGGGATCGTGCAGTCAAACGTGGGTTTTGAATTGTTTTTCTCACAATCCTGCGAGCTGCTCTGTCTGATATTTTTCTTGGTCTTCCAGATCTTGCTTTAACTTCCACTGTTCCGGATGACTGCCATTTCTTAATTACATTCCGAACAGAGGATATTGACATCTGAAAACGCTTTGCTATCTTCTTATAGCCTTCTCCAGCTTTGTGAGCGTCAACTATTTTCAGTTTCAGTTTTCTAGACAACTGCTTAGAAGAACCCATGGTGCTGATTGTTGGGGCAAGGTCAGATGAGTCTGGGCATTTAAAACCTTTGAGATTGACATCACCTGGTCTTCCCAGACGATGATTGAGAACAATCCATGACACTGGCAGGTCTCAGCTTTGCAAAGGGGGCAGTGCATGCTATAAATTCTGCAGGGTGCCCAAACTTTTGCAGACGCCATTTTTTTGTTTTCTGTTATTTTGAAAGTGTAAATGATGGAAATAAAATCTAACTTTTGTTGACATATTATAAGAATGGCTAATCTGTAATTTGATGCCTTTTGGAGATTTTTCCATCTTTCCTTGGCTTCTTTATGCACATTAATACAAATTTTTAGCTGGGGTGCCCAAACTTTCGATCCCCACTGTATATATATACATACATACAGTGGGGATCAAAAGTTTGGGCACCCCAGCTAAAAATTTGTATTAATGTGCATAAAGAAGCCAAGGAAAGATGGAAAAATCTCCAAAAGGCATCAAATTACAGATTAGACATTCTTATAATATGTCAACAAAAGTTAGATTTTATTTCCATCATTTACACTTTCAAAAATAACAGAAAACAAAAAAATGGCGTCTGCAAAAGTTTGGGCACCCTGCAGAATTTATAGCATGCACTGCCCCCTTTGCAAAGCTGAGACCTGCCAGTGTCATGGATTGTTCTCAATCATCGTCTGGGAAGACCAGGTAATGTCAATCTCAAAGGTTTTAAATGCCCAGACTCATCTGACCTTGCCCCAACAATCAGCACCATGGGTTCTTCTAAGCAGTTGTCTAGAAAACTGAAACTGAAAATAGTTGACGCTCACAAAGCTGGAGAAGGCTATAAGAAGATAGCAAAGCGTTTTCAGATGTCAATATCCTCTGTTCGGAATGTAATTAAGAAATGGCAGACATCAGGAACAGTGGAAGTTAAAGCAAGATCTGGAAGACCAAGAAAAATATCAGACAGAACAGCTCGCAGGATTGTGAGAAAAACAATTCAAAAAACCCATGTTTGACTGCATGATCCCTCCAGAAAGATCTGGCAGACACTGGAGTTGTGGTACACTATTCCACTATAAAGAGATACTTGTACAAATATGGTCTTCATGGAAGAGTCATCAGAAGAAAACCTCTTCTACGTCCTCAGCACAAAAATCATCATTTGAACTTTGCAAATGAAAATATAGACAAGCCTGATGCATTTTGGAAACAAGTTCTGTGGACCGATGAGGTTAAAATTGAACTTTTTGGCCGGAATGAGCAAAGGTACGTTTGGAGAAGAAGGGGCACAGAATTTAATGAAAAGAACCTCTGTCCAACTGTTAAGCATGGGGTCGGATCAATCATGCTTTGGGGTTGTGTTGCAGCCAGTGGCACAGGGAACATCTCACGAGTAGAAGGAAAAATGGATTCAATAAAATTTCAGCAAATTTTGGATGGTAATTTGATGCCATCTGTGAAAAAGCTGAAGTTAAAGGGAGGATGGCTTCTACAAATGGATAATGATCCTAAACACACCTCAAAATCCACAGGGGATTACATCAAGAGGCGTAAACTGAAGGTTTTGCCATGGCCTTCACAATCTCCTGACCTCAACATAATTGAAAATCTATGGATAGACCATAAAAGAGCAGTGCGTGACAGACAGCCCAGAAATCTCAAAGAACTGGAAGACTTTTGTACGGAAGAATGGGCAAAGATACCTAAAACAAGAATTGAAAGACTCTTGGCTGGCTACAAAAAGCATTTACAAGCTGTGATACTTGCCAAAGGGGGCAGTACAAGATATTAACTCTGCAGGGTGCCCAAACTTTTGCAAACGCCATTTTTTTTGTTTTCTGTTATTTTGAAAGTGTAAATGATGGAAATAAAATCTAACTTTTGTTGACATATTATAAGAATGTCTAATCTGTAATTTGATGCCTTTTGCAGATTTTTCCATCTTTCCTTGGCTTCTTTATGCACATTAATACAAATTTTTAGCTGGGGTGCCCAAACTTTCGATCCCCACTGTACATACATACATACATACATACAGGTGAAACTCAAAATATTTGAATATCGTGCAAAAGTTCATTTATTTCAGTAATGCAACTTAAAAGGTGAAACTAATATATGAGATAGACTCATTGCATGCAAAGCAAGATAGTTCAAGCCGTGATTTGTCATAATTGTGATGATTATGGCTTACAGCTCATGCAAACCCAAAATCCACAATCCCACAAAATTAGAATATTACATGCAATCAATAAAACAAGGATTGTACGAAGAACAATATCGGACCTCTGAAAAGTATAAGCATGCATATGTACTCAGTACTTGGTTTGGGCCCCTTTTGCAGCAATTACTGCCTCAATGCGGAATGGCATGGAACTATCAGCCTAGGCACTGCTGAGGTGTTATGGAAGACCAGGATGCTTCAATAGCGGCCTTCAGCTCTTCTGCATTGTTCGGTCTCATGTCTCTCATCTTTCTCTTGGCAATGCCCCATAGATTCTCTATGGGGTTCAGGTCAGGTGAGTTTGCTGGCCAATCAAGCACAGTAATCCCACAGTCATTGAACCAGGTTTTGGTGCTTTTGGCAGTGTGGGCAGGTGCCAAGTCCTGCTGGAAAATGAAGTCAGCATCCCCATAAAGCTCGTCTGCGGAAGGAAGCATGAAGTGCTCCAAAATCTCCTGGTAGACAGCTGCGTTGACCCTAGACTTAATGAAGCACAGTGGACCAACACCAGCAGATGACATGGCTCCCCAAAATCAACACAGACTGTGAAAACTTCACACTGGACTTCAAGCATCTTGCAGTGTGTGCCTCTCCATTCTTCCTCCATACTCTGGGTCCTTGGTTTCCAAATGAGATGCAAAAGTTGTTCTCATCAGAAAAGAGGACTTTGGACCACTGAGCAACAGACCAGGTCTGTTTTTCTTTAGCCTAGGTAAGACGCTTCTGACATTGTTTGTTGTTCAGGAGCGGCTTGACAAGAGGAATACGACATTTGAAGCCCATGTCCAGGATCCGTCTGTGTGTGGTGGCTCTTGATGCACTGACTCCAGCCTCAGTCCACTCCTTGTGAAAGTCCCCAACACTTTTGAATGGCCTTTTCCTGACAATCCTCTCCAGGCTGCGGTCATCCCTGCTGCTTGTGCACCTTTTTCTTCCACACTTTTCCCTTCCACATAACTTTCTATTAATGTGCTTTGATACAGCACTTTGGGAACATCCAACTTCTTTTGCAATTACCTTTTTGAGGCTTTCCCTCCTTATGGAGGGTGTCAATGATGGTTTTCTGCACAACTGTCAGGTCAGCAGTCTTTCCCATGATTGTGATTCCTACTGAACCAAACAGAGACCATTTAAAGGCTCAGGAACCTTTTGCAGGTGTTATGGCTTAATTAGCTGATTAGAGTGGGACACTTTGAGCCTAGAATATTGCACCTTTTCACAATATTCTAATTTTCTGAGATTGTGGATTTGATGTTTTCATGGGCTGTAAGCCATAATCATCACAATTATGACAAATCACGGCTTGAAATATCTTGCTTTGCATGTAGTGAGTCTATCTCATATATTAATTTCACCTTTTAAGTTGCATTACTGAAATAAATGAACATTTGCACGATATTTTAATTTTTTGAGTTTCTGGTCATTTTGTAGGGCTCTGGTAGTGCTCATCCTGTTCCTCCTTGCACAAAGTAGCAGATACTGGCCTTGCTGGTGGGTTAAGGACCTTCTACGGCCCTGTCCAGCTCTCCTAAAGTAACTGCCTGCCTCCTGGAATCTCTTGAGATTGTGCTGGGAGACATAGCAAACCTTTGGTCAATGGCACGTATTGATGTGCCATCCTGGAAGAGTGGACTGCCTGTGCAACCTCTGTAGGGTCCAGGTATCACCGCATGCTATCAGTAGTGACACTGACCCTAGCCAAATGCACCTGTAAAACCATTCCTGTTTTGGGGGTCATCTCATTGTTGCCCATCTAGTGCACCTGTTCTTAACCACTTCAAATCCGGACACTTTTACCCCCTTCCTGTCCAGACCAATTTTCAGCTTTCAGTGGTATCACACTTTGAATGACAATTGCGCAATCATGCAACCCATAAAGGCTGTAAAAGCAATCATTTCTCCTTCTCTCTGGCTGCATTCTTGCAGCCATTGAGAAATACTGTGTGAGCTGTGATTGGTCACAGCTTGTCACATGGTACAAGGCTGTTGTGAATAGCCTTGTACCATGTGATCTCTGTGATCATTCACAGATTTCACATGTAGTAAGCAATGATGTCAGATGTGACATCTTGCTTACTACTCTTCATGTGATCACTGATTGGCCAATCAGTGATCACATGATCAGGACCTCACACAGAGGTCCCATACAATGATCGGTGTTCCGCTGTGTCCAGAGAGCGCGCACAAGCAGGGAGCGGGGAGGACGTTTATAAACGGCCACCTCCCCCTACACTGCTCCCGTCTGCCCGTTTTTATACATGGGCCGGACAGGAAGTGGTTAATTTCATTAACACCAAAACAGCTGAAACTGATTAACAACCCCCTCTGCTACTTAACTGACCAGATGATTATCCTAGGAGTTTAATTGACTTGATGCAGTGTGTGTGTGTGTATATGTGTGTGAACATGAATATATATATATATATATAAATATATATATATATATATATATATATATATATATATATCCTCTTGCCGACCGCGCATAGCCAAAAGACGGCTTCACCGCGGCCGGCCAGTTTCTGAGTGGACGTCATATGACGTCCTCCCAGAACGCGCTCTCCTGCGCGCCCCAGGGGGCGCGCACCCGGCGATCTCCGTGGTCGCTGTGTCCTACGGACACAGCTGATCACGTGATGTGGTGAAAGGCCGATCCCACCGGCCTTTTACCACGTTTTCAGCGGTGTCCAATGACACGCTGATCACAGGGAAATGCAAGTGCCGGTTCTCGGCTGCACTTTCCTCACGCTGTCAGATCGTGAGGAAAGTACTGCCGAGAACCGGCAGTTGTCAGAGCGGGGATCGGCACCGATCATCAGGGCACTGATGATCAGTGCCCTGATGATCGGTGCCCAGCAGTGACCCCCGCAAGTTCCGATCAGCAGTGCGCCCACTAGCCCCGCCCACCCATTCCCAGCAGTGCCCCCACCTGTGCCCAGCAGTGCCCCCACCTGTGCCCAGCAGTGCACCCACCTGTGCCACTCTGCAGTGCCACCTACCTGTGCCCAGAAGTGCCACCTACATGTGCCCAGCAGTGCCACCCACCTGTGCCCACCAGTGCCACCCACCTGTGCCCACCCACCAGTGCTGTCCACCAGTGCCACCCACCAGTGCAGCCCAGCAGTGCTGCCAGTCAGTGCCACCATTCAGTGCCCAGGGGTTGTGCCAGTCAGTGCCGCCAGTCAGTGCCCAGAAGTGATGCCAGTCAGTGCCGTCTATCAGTACCCATCATCAGTGTCACCTATCAGTGCCACCTATCAGTGCTGCATATCAGTGCCGCCTATCCGTGACCCCTAATTAGTGCTGTCTATCAGTGCCGCCTATCCGTGCCACCTCATTAGTACTGCCTATCAGTGCCCTTTAGTGCTGCCTATCAGTGCCCATCAGTGCCGCCTATCAGTGCCCATCAGTGCCGCCTCATCAACGCAAATCAGTGAAGGAGAAAAAATACCTGTTTGAAAAATTTTATAAAAGAAACAAATAAACTTTTTTTTTTTTTTTTCAAATTTTTTGCACATTTTATAATTTATAGCGCAAAAAGTAAAGCGCCCAGTGGCGATTAAATACCACCAAAAGAAAGCTCTATTTGTGAGAAAAAAATGATCAAAATTTCATATGGGTACAATGTTGCATGACCGCGCAATTGTCAATCAAAGTGCGGCAGCGCTGAAAGCTGAAAATTGGCCTGGTAAGGAAGGGGGTATAAGTGCCCGGTAGGCAAGTGGATATATATATATATATATATATATATATATATATATATATATATATATATCAGCACTGTGGGTGACACACTGAACTAGGAAGGAAAAGCAAACTTAGCCAGGGAACACTTTATGCATGTGGTTTAAATCAGAATTTTGGCTCTAGTGTTTATCACTGTGCAATGTTCAATCTATTGACAGGTGCCAACTGCAAAGCATAACCATCTGAATTTGTTGGCTCCCAAACCAAACCAGACAGCAGTGACTTGACTGAATGCTGGCTCTCTCAGAGTTGGTTAGTAGTAGGTGCCTACCTAGAAATGTCTTTGAATTTCTGTATGAACCTGAGCAGAGGATGTGTTTCAGCAATTCTGTCTTATAATCTATACCTTAAAGCTGAACTCTAGAACAAGAAATTATTGTCCAAATACAAGGAGGTATGTGTATTCTTATTTGCATCTTGGTGTGCTTTCTGTATTTCTTCCAGATCTGTGGATTAATTAAGTGTGAAAATTGCCTCTGTGCAAGAACTTCCTGTATAAAGACCAGTCACTACTGCTTTGTCTCCTTCTGCTTGATGACTGGTCTCCCATCTGCCTTTCCTGTAGATCTCTGCAGGCAGCCTGTACTGGGTGAACTTGCTGGGTTCTGCACTCTGCAGCCTAGTGATGATGTAGCTGCTACTTTTACAAAGTAATATCTGGGCTTACAAAGACATTTCATGTACACAAAGTGGATTTATTTCCTTTGAATCTGATAAAGCCTAGTCACAAATGGGGATGGAAGGTCACAAATGGGGGTGTGGGGTGTCAATGAAGGAGGATTTCACATAACAGAGGAACCAGAAGGGACACATCCTACTGACTGTAAGTAATGTCCCTTGTGCTGATATTTTTTTCTCATTTGTGACTAAACATAGATTTAAATAATATATTTAGGGTGGCTTCACACTGCCCTAATGGGCTTTTGCTAAAGTGCAGCTAACCTGTAGTTTTCATGCGGTTTAGCTGTGCTTTCCTATAGACTTTTAGGAGGCCTTTGGATTTGGTGCAGTTTCAGAAAGCGCAGCAAAACTCCTGCATGCTGCATCTTTGGTGCGCTTTCTGATGATGTAGGACATCATGAAACCCACGGGTTAGCTGTGCTTTGCCCTTCAAGGTGCAGGGGGACCACACTGGGGCAGTGTGAAGTCACACAAAGTTTTGTGCCCGGGGTGCAGCTTTAAATACGAATGCTAGCAATTTCAACATCCTTTTTCCCCCCCAGCCCTACAACAAGGGGGTTGAGTTCCTTATCTTGCACTATGAAACAGCTATATGCAAATTGAAAAAAAGGACCAATGGTTCTAAATGCATAGTTGGTCAAAGGGCCCATAAGAATAATTGTATGGGTGTGTCCAAAATCTTAGAATGAAGAATAATTTTAAAAAGTCCTTGTTTTTGGAAACAATCTACATGAATACATCCAGTTTTAGGACTGCACACTGTGCATTGCAAAATATGTCATCTTCACCCAAGACCCAAGGGAAAAGGACAGGGGTAAAGCTGAAAGAGAAAAGCTTTTGCCTGCAAGGATGCTTTGATGAGCGGTATGATCACAGATGGCAAATATGAGCACACAGAGCATACCATGTATTTACATGTAAAGCCCTAATCAAAATTATTCATCCTTTCATTACCTCTTCATTCTTAGAACTCGTGGAGTGGTTCAGTTCAACCTAAAAGACAACAAATACGTATTAACCACTATCCATATTCATTTCTATCTACTGCATACAGAAGGTGTTTCCAGGAACATTGAGCCTATGAAACCACTCCAAGTTCCAATATAAATAAACAATCCTTTTATTACTTTCTTTTTAAATAACAGGATATGCTCCAAGTGGAAAATTCACATTCAAGTCCCATAGAAACAGGCTTTTAGAAGAGAGTGCGAAGACGTAGGTTCCCCACATCTTGGGATGTGTGCCGCTGCTGGTTCTGGCCTTCAGCAGCAGATCCTGTGTTTCATTTTTCCAGGGTAAGACAAAAAGTATAAAGAATTATTGCTTTCTATGGGAATCAGACACTTTTTCTCACTTTATTACAAATTTGATTTGGACCTGTAAATTATAATTCTCAATACAAAGCAAATTCAGCAATAGCTACCTTATAGAACAGGGGTATCCAAACTTTCTAAACCAAGGGCCAGTTTACTGTCCTTGAGACTGTGGCCAGTGGTAGTAAACACTGCTCTTTAGAGGAACAGTGTTCCATGATTGGCGCCGGTGGGAGGCATAGAGCCCCATCGTTGGCGCCGGTGGGAGGCATAGAGCCCCATCGTTGGCGCCGGTGGGAGGCATAGAGCCCCATCGTTGGCGCCGGTGGGAGGCATAGAGCCCCATCGTTGGCGCCGGTGGGAGGCATAGAGCCCCATCGTTGGCGCCGGTGGGAGGCATAGAGCCCCATCGTTGGCGCCGGTGGGAGCATAGAGCCCCATCGTTGGCGCCGGTGGGAGGCATAGAGCCCCAATCGTTGGCGTCGGTGGGAGGCATAGAGCCCCAATCGTTGGCGTCGGTGGGAGGCATAGAGCCCCAATCGTTGGCGTCGGTGGGAGGCATAGAGCCCCAATCGTTGGCGTCGGTGGGAGGCATAGAACCCCAATCGTTGGCGTCGGTGGGAGGCATAGAGCCCCAATCGTTGGCGTCGGTGGGAGGCATAGAGCCCCAATCGTTGGCGTCGGTGGGAGGCATAGAGCCCCAATCGTTGGCGTCGGTGGGAGGCATAGAGCCCCAATCGTTGGCGTCGGTGGGAGGCATAGAGCCCCAATCGTTGGCGTCGGTGGGAGGCATAGAGCCCCAATCGTTGGCGTCGGTGGGAGGCATAGAGCCCCAATCGTTGGCGTCGGTGGGAGGAATAGTGCCCATCGTTGGTTTCAGTGGAAAGTGCCTTATTGTAGTCAGTGGCAGGAATTTTGCCCCACTGTCAGTGTCACTGGAGTAATAGTGATTCAAGGACCAAAGTTTGGAGAGAACAGTTTTAGAGGAATGCAAAATTCATGAGTATAGAATAACTTATAGAAAATAAATTGTAAAGCATAATATATCTACAAAACAGTATAAAGATTACTTACAGCTGGATATATAGTCAAAGTAATACATCGAAAGATCCGCAAAATTAGATGCAAACCATCCTTTTTCAAGAATATCTACCTGTCCTAACGTTCCTGCAGGATTAAATTCCCTAAAGTGTGGCCTCCTCACAGCACCACCACCATGTGACATGTGCGTCTAGCTTCAGATATACCTATTGTTGCACATCACAGGAATTTCTGCTTATTAACATATTTATAGTATCTTTTCACAGTATGTATATTTGTACACATAAAATCATGGGAAGATTTTGTAATTAAATACATTTCTTTTTAAAAATGTAAAATTGTTTTCAATGTATGAGATTATGCAGATATATTGTGGTGTGCGCCCTAGTTTCTATTAATTTCTAGCTGTTGTTGCACATGACTGATGTGTAGGACAGGTCTGTATTTTCCGAGGTAATTTAATTTTCTGCCGTGTTACGGAATCTGACACTTATCCAGAAAAGAGGTATTTTTAAATCATTAGTAAGTGAATGGATCAGCAATCACCGCACACTGTGCTTTCCTAGGACTTCCCCATAAAAAATAACTGTCCTGTATAAACACACCGAAAATGGTTTTTGTTATCACATGGCACCACCTCGTGGTTAAAGGCAGTAAGTCAACCGCAGATCAGTTTAGTGCAGCCGTTCTCAACCTATTCAACATAAAGGAACCCTTGATATAACTTTCTGGTCTCAGGGAACCCCTGTTAAAATAAAAAATGACTATATCTACAACTCACGTAAACAATAAACTCATGTTTAGGAGCTATTCAGAGTTTTTCTCAGCAGCCCCTGAACTCACCCTAATGGTTTCCTATGCGTCCATGTACACATCTTCATTTACAGGCTTTTGAGTTTACAATAGTTTTTTTGAACGCAGAAAACTTGCGTTCAGCAGTCGATTTTATCAGCATTTCAAACGCAAAATACTTGTAAACGCAGCTAAGTTTATTAGCGTTGCGTCTGAATTTTTTTTTGTTTAACTCTTTCAGTTCCCGATGCTGTCCAGAACCTTTTTTCATCATGAAAAATGCATGCAAAATGTTTTCAAGGTACTGGGATGGACAAAACACTGAACACAGGATGTTCCTACCAAGCTTGTCACACATTGCAATGACCAATTCACACCTCAGACCTCTCCCACCCTTGGTAACAAAAGATACGTTAATGACCATTCACACCTCAAATTCCCCATGAAGACCCCCTGCCAAGTGGCCTTAATGACTCACTCCACCAGACACCTTTCCCACCCTTGGAAACAAACAAAATGTTAATGAGCAATTCACACTTAAGCTAATTTCAACACATACTTCTGTCTCTGCTTCTACTCTCTGTATTTCTCTGAAACAGTCTGAAATAGTTAACAATTTAGCACTTTTCGGTGCATTCTGGGCATTTGGGAGGTTCTCCCGTGCTTATCTTTAAAAAACGCTTCTAAACGCAAACGCACATAAACGCGTTATGCAAACGCGGCTAAACAGACGTTTTTTAACCTATGTTTTCCAGCAGTCAGTTTCCATCATTCAGAAGTGTCCCGTGTACATGGGGCCTTACGCTTGTGGTCATTGGGAAAAATTCCCCCCTTACAGATAGCTAAAAAGATCAATGGTGTCAGTGGGAACTGATCAAGAGGCAGAAATTGCTCATTGATAAAGGAACCCCTAGCAACCTCTAGAGGAACCCTGGGGTTCCATAGAAACCTGGCTTATTGCATGCCTTGCCTATATGTTACAGCAGAAGGCATAGACTGGCAAATGGGTAAATAATAAAACACTGTATATTACAGTTAAAAATATTATGAAAAGATTAAATACATTTTACATAGAATTATTGTTATTAGTTCATAAATTTCCTTGATATTAATCTCTTCTGTGTAATTCCCTACATAACACGACTATATAAACCTCCCTCCCTGCACTAACATACAGAAAGGATAGGGGAATGTGGGGTCTGTGACATGCTTAGCATGCTCCACTCTGGGACAGCATATCACAAAGCATGCTGTAGTAAGAACAATAAAATGCATGCTTTCAGCACACCACAGACAAGCTGGCTCTAAACTGTCATTTAGGATGTATCTTTTTTTCTAAGGGCCGGTTCACACCATAAAAACGCAGTCCAGATGTGTTCTGTATGCTTTTCCACATGTGCGTTTTTAATGTGCTTTTGGCACATTTTTTACATGTTCCAGCGAGTTTTTCATGCGTTCTGGTTCATTTTTTCCCCTCTCTTTTTCTTTAATTTAAATATGGACATGTGCGTTTCAGTGCATTTGTGTCGCTTTTTGGTGCCTTCCGGTACGTTTTACCACGTTCCAGTACAGTTCTGTGCAAGAAAAATGCAGCCTGTTGCACTAAGCTATATGCATGTGCCATTTGCTGTAACGTCCATTGTATTTAGCAACGATATTGTTTATTTAACTTGCATTACTGGAAATAACTATCACTATAGCAAATGAACATTATAGCCTAGTGAACTTATATATCATATAGCATATGTCATTATTTAAGGAATACACAGAAAACAACAGTTACCTTTTCTTCAGGAATAGACAAGTCCACATCACCACCTCCCTGGAAAGTACTGAGGTCAGCATTACATAAGTCTTCCTCTCTTAGCTCAGGAGACTGAGCTGAAAAAAAAAAAAAGGTTGATGTTATATTACAAATCTTTCTGGGATGGGCAAAGATTTATAGTAGGGATAAAAGAAATGTGATTAAGAGGTCTCTGCTGATGAGGACCAGCAAATTTGAACTTTGATCATCCCTTCCGGCAGGAATAATTTGACCAAAAAAAAGGTATTTTACCCCTTACTTATTTAGCTATCCTAGCATGAATTTCTTAGAACTACATAGCATCTTCCTAGATAGGGCTAGGTTAGGTCAATTTAGTTCCTTAGCTCTCCTGTAATCAGTGGAGCTACTTCTGATTACTCTGGTCTACTCTGAATTTCCCTGGCTCTGGGTTTGACTGCTTCCCCCTGCCTTTTAGATGGTTCCGGAAAGTAGTGGGCTGCGAAAGTCAAATCTCCAGTTTTAATATTTATGTGGTCCCAGCCAATCCTTGGGGAGGGTGCCCAGTAAATGGCTGGGGGGAGCATAAATAGCTTGAGATTTGGGTCAGATTGGTTCTTATCCAGGAAGAAAGGATTCCAGCCTGAGGGGCTACTGCTCTTTTGGTCAGTCCAGCTGCACCTTCGAGGTGCAGCTGGACCTTTCTCTTCGAGGTCCCAGCTGTGTTAGCTGGGGGACCTATTCCACTGAACTTTGCTGGAGCTGATTGAGGGATTTGTTTCTGGTCTGAATAGTTCACAGGAGACATGTCTGATTGATATTGGATAGAGGCATCCAAATATCCAGGGACATTTGTGAGTACAAGTACAAATGTGTGAGATCCCAGTGACCGTTTGGTGTCTCTGTGTAACCCAGTTCATTATTTGCTGCTGCAAGGACTGTGCTAGGAAATTTGAGGAAGTGAGAAGTGTCATCAAGTTGTTACTTTGTCTTACAGGAGTATCCCACAGTTACCCTGCACCTATCACAGTCCAAGTTTAATAAAACATAAAAAAAAAAGATACCCGTAGACTAATCATCGAGCCAGAAGAATGACTGTGACTGTGTGCAAGGCTGCTAGTACACTATCAGGGGAAAGAACCTTTGGACCATTCCGTGGGCCCTTTTGGGGGTAAGCGCTACACCTATAAAGAAAAAAATCTTCTACAGTATCCAAAGGAAATATTACAATCAAATAATTTCACTCATCAAAACTTTACCAGGATTAGAGCAGTAAAACATTCCTTTTCCTTAAAAGCAAACTTTCACCATGCAGGCTTTCTTCTTTGTCATGAAAATCAGCTTCTTAGATGTTGGGATATTATCAGGGCAAAGCGCTGTAGATCCCAACACAGCACCCATGTCTGAACCTCTCTCTCTCTCCTGACCACTGGCAAAAGACATGACCTCAGGCTTCATTTTATGAATGGACAAGGGGACAGGGTGTGGAGGAACAACCACAGTGCTGGAGTCTATCAGACCCACACCCCTTACATCTGCAGAGGCCCATACTAATCACAACAACCTCATTTGCATGACAGAAAAAAGCCTGCATAATGGATTTTGCTTCTGAGGATTGTTTTGCTGCTGTAAACCTTATAAAATTATCATCCCCAAAGTTGGGCTTATATTAAAGAAACAAATGCATTGGGCACACTCCCAAATGTGATGGAATTTTTTTTATTGAATCGAAACAGAATGTTCAGTGGAAGGTGGCTAATGTAAGAATACTTGATAGTTGCCAAATAATACAGAGGAGACATTTGTGGATGGACATTCCAGCTATCAGTGATAATCTGGGTGATTTCTTATTTCTTCACATCTAATAGGCTAGTACATTCAAAACTGATATTTCATTTTCAGGAAGACGCTCACACCAACAACAAAGCAGACCTTTTTTTTTTTATTTTGGATACAGTAAAGGAGGGTTATAGCCCCTGCTGTTTTTTACCATCTGTGTCCCATTGGAGATAATTCCCTTCACTTTTTGTCCCATAGCCAAAACACGAGGTGACAGAAAGCAAGAGAATCCCTGGTTGTCACCAAGGTCATCAGAACTAGTGTCCCCATTAGATGATGTCTCCTCTATTCCTGGCTCTGGAAAATTTGGGATTTTCTTTCATTTTCACTCTTGGTTATGACAATAAGCAGGAGAAATAGAAAGGATGAAATTTTCCCAATGGGGGCACAGACAGCAATAAAAACTTGACAGGTGTTCTAATCCCCCTCCACACTATCCAGAAAACTATGAAAAGAAATTTGCCTTTAGTTACGCTTTAACATACACTATACTGGGTTAGAGGAGGTTCAAATCATATAAACCAAGGTACAGAGGGCACAAGATTCCACACTTTACTCTTACTGCTATAGCTCTTCCGTATCCCATGGAGTGGCATCTATTCTCAGAGTCCCTACACAGCTTTTCTTTCAATATTAGCAAATAATGACATTCCCTCGCTTTGCAGGCGTATTGCAGGCATAACTTCATTGTCTGATATATAGATACACAGGCGCCACAATAAAATTATTTATCATATTCCCTAATAGTAACACTAAGGTATGGTCCTAGGTTGCTCAGGCACAGTGCAGTGACATGCAAGAGCAGGGTAGCCATTCTCTCTGTAATGGGGTATGGGTTTTCCAGGGAGTCAAAGCTGGTATCACGGGAGGGTATTAGGCTGCAGTGCCTTCCCAAAAGAAAAAATCATGTGCGCCCTTCAACTCCCATATGGTATGTATAGCACTTCCTATGGTCTGGGAACTTATCCAATACGTTAAAGTGCCCTGCACGGAGTCTGATACTGGCTCTGCAGTGAGTTTTGATGATGCTCTTGGGGGTGGAGGGTAGAAGGGGTGAGGACAAAATAAAGGAACCTTATAGTGCCATCTATAGAATGCTTGTATTATATTATCTGCACTGAAGTAAAATCTACTTTTTTAAGTATAAAAATGTTCTTATAACAGCAGCATGGTCCTTAGAAACTGAAAACAGAAATCACTACACCAGGATTCTGAACAGATGTGGAAAGCCAGTGGGCAAACATCTAGTCATAGATATGGGTCTCAGGTGGACTGTACCCCCCTTCCTTCCCCAAAGCATAGGTAAACTCTAACAATGATCTGCTCTTATGAGGTGGTATAAAATAGTTTCGAGACAACAGATGGCTGCACACACAGTCACAGGAAACATTGACCTTCTTAAGTCAGTGTGCCCAAAGACATCATCCTGTGTATATTGGGAGCTGTGCAACTGGTGCAATTCTGACTATGTGTATTACCACGTCTGCTATTTCATCATGGACAGCAAGTTAGAACAAACAGCAAACATGAAATTCTGTGTGTAACTGGGTAAAACTGCCACGGAGACGTTTAACATGATTTGGCAAGTTTACGGTGTCGCTGCAATGAGTCATTCGAGGTGTTCGGAGTGTGGCACACGAGCTTCAAGAGCAGAACAACATCACTGGAAAACGACGAGAGATCAGGAAGACCTTCAACGAGCTCAACCTCTGAAAATGCTCTCTTCCTGAAGATGAAGATCCAGCTCAAAGGTTGACATTTTGACAACATTGAGGAGATCCAGCGAATTGCCAAGTTTTACACAAAATTTCACATTTTCTCTTTGTTCTAACTTGCTGTCCATGAAAAAATAGCAGACATGGTAATGCATGTGGTCAGAAGATCACCAGTTGCACTGCTTCTGATGTACACAGGACGATGTCTTTTGGCACACTAACTTATGAAGGTCGGTGCTCCCTGTGACTGCATGCAACCTTGTGCTGCCATCTGTTGGCGTGTTACAAAACTAGTCTCTAAACTTTTTTATATGACCTCCTATCTTATTTTTAGTCTGTTTAATATACTGTTGGAAGCATATCAGTTTATTAAGTGCAAAAAAAATGTTTAATGTGTCAAAAATTCCAAGGTGTCCTCCGCACATTTCCTGTGTTATCTCAAACAGCCCTCTTAGTTCTTATCTTGGACTATAGAATCATTAGTCTTTATGTTGTAGAAAATTGACAGTGGGACTGATTGAGTTTTTTAGCAAAAGACCCGGGGCAGAATTGACCACACTCCTCTCAGATTGACATTTCTGGCAGAGTAACGGGTATTTTTCTGTATTTGACTGGACTTTAAAAGGGATAAAACATGGAAAATGTGGATATATTGTAGAGATATCCTGTATTTGACATACACTTTAAATGGAGTTTGACTTCCTCACAGTAAGATTTAGATAATAGTATACTAGATTACCAATATACTCATATGTGGCTAATGCTATATGATGCATAACTACAGTCAGTATATTTATACTACAGAGCTTGGTCAAACTTTCCATTGACCGTTAAAAAAAAACATTTCTATTCTGCTACTCTAGGCAACTAGTTACATCTGTCAGTGAATTCCGAACGCTATTCAGGATACACTGCAAGTGTGCAAAAATTCCACATATATCAACTGAACCTTTGTAGCCAGATTCAACGGGTTTTCCAGAAGGCTCTTGGATAGGACTGCAGTCTGCAGTAGACTCTGAGGCAATTTATATGCAAGATTTTATTGTTTTGACGGTTTATTTTTTGTTGTCTTGTTTATCACTCAGTGTGGAGCTGCCAGGAGTCTGTATTATACCCTCTCAAACTGGAAACTGTTACTGTTGGCTATATACTGATAAGCCCGCACAAAAACCACAGGCCAATGATAACTTAAAGACATCCAAGAGGAAACAAGATCCTCCAGATTTCATAAATATTGGTATATGTAAAAATAATAAGTGACATCAGTACACTAAAACAAATCGTAGTAACAACATTCATTTTGGAAATCGGACATTTCTGAGCAGTATAAGGACACTTTCATCATAGCAATAGTGACATCACTACTGCCTTGAAAAAGGGGTCTTTATGCAGCCCTGAAACATTGCATTTTCTGGGGTCATTGGTATGTTTTGGAATTTTGGATTGAAAACATCATCTATTTGCCACTTTGGCACCCACTCCGATTTATGTTTTATACTGTATGGACATCACTGAATACCTCCAAATTTGCTGGACAATAAACAGCAGCACAGTGAGAGCCACACTGCCATCCACAGCCAGAACTTACATACGTAAGCACAATGTTCAATTACTGTCTGGTTCAGTCCAGCATGTCCCTTCAACCGTTTGTTGAAGGGACATGCTTGAAAACATGCATTTGATGAGAAATTTCAGCCAATGGCTGCGAGCGTTGTATGTAAGTATGTATGTTGGTACGGCAATTTGTCACTTGCAGTGTGTCCTTGTCTTTAGACATGACTACTTACAGTTGTATAAAATTTCTTGAGTCTCCTCAAATGGTCCAGTTCCTGAACACGTCCGTGATCTGTGGGATGTCTCTGGATCTTCAGATGACCAGGCTGTGTTCTCCATTTGTGATGCTAAAGTCATGTACAGTCTTTCAGCTTTTAACATGAAAATATCATTAACTTAGTATGAAGTCCTCTTCAAATTCATTTACTTTCTTTGCAGAAAAATTCCAGGATAAAAGCACCAGTTGAGGTAGGTACAATTATATTCATTACACTTTCCCCTACACCCCCAATCCAGGAAGCTTGTATACTTCCGAGCATACCACTCTGCGGGCAGCCAGTTGGCATCATCCCCATAGACTTCTATGGAACTGGCAAATCTGGCAACCTGCAGAGTGACACTCTGGGAGTGGAGATCTCATGGCTTCTGCCGTTTCCTCTATTACCTGATCCCAGAGATCTTTAGGAGTAAAGTGTAATGCATATTGTTCCACGTCCTTCATCACAAATCAGAAAACTTTTCTTCCTGGAGTTCTTTTCTCAAGAAAACATGTTATAGAAAGTATGTACGTTTTGCCATTACCGATTCCCTTTTAAAAATTGTTTACTGCCTGGCTGTCATGCTGACCCACCTACTTTAGTGTTTTCTCAGTCACCGATCCATAAACTGAAATTTTTTGTTCAGCATCCTTTTTTGGGTGTTTGAGAAAGTACTGAAGCCAGAGACAGCCAGGCAACTAACATTTTTCAGAAAGATAACAGTAAAGGCCAGGCTGAGCATTTCTGTCAACAGAGGTGCCCTTTAAAGCACAAAACCAGCCAAAAAACAACACGTGTAGGACACCATCCCCAAATCTGAATGAAGAACTTGCAAAATTGAAAAGAATAAGCTCAGCATAGCTGCAATTTCTCTCTAGATATGAAAGGATGGAATTAAATGAATGTGCGAGTCCATAGCTGTCACATGACACAAGAAGACATCCATGGGCATCATGGATATCATCACTTACAGGCTATCAGCAATAGCCTGGGTGATGTGAGATCTGTTCTCCTTCAACTGGTTAGTCAACTCAGATATTTCAGTTTCGGGTAGAAAATTGCAAGGAGAAACACCTGCCAATTTTGTAAAACACACAGTACTGGATTCAAGTAAAATCAACCAAAGCCAGCACAAGATTTCACAGTATACTGTACCTTTAGTGTGACAATTTGCCTGAAAGTGTACTAACAGTGCCCCAAATTCATATGAAAACTTTTTCTTTCGGTCTACAATGCATGACCTAGACATTAATAGTGGGGCCTAGCCATAGCTAGCTCTTGAAAGGTGCACTGTCTTTTCAGAGGTAGTATACTCATTCTGTTATAAGGAGGTATGACAGGATGGGGATTAGGCTGCAATGCCTTCCCAAACTAAATTCTTCCTGTTCTAGTGACACCAAGACAAGAAATGAGAGTGTGCAAGTGTCACAGGGCTACAAAAGAAATAAAAAACCTGAAAAGTTCTAAACTTTTCCCACCCTCTTAACCAAAGGTGCACTCACACTGAGCACAGCTGAACTGAACCAAAGCTCAGCTGTCACTCCTCCTCACTCCCCCTTCTGGTCTGAACTTACACGGGTCTTAAAGCAAGTGTTCCCGGGCACATTTACATCATCACCTCTGCCAACCAGACCACAGTATTCCTACTCCTGTGCTCACTGATCTATGGCACAGTTTGCACTAACGATGAGGCACACTGTAATGGACCACAAGTGCATCATGCCCAAAACCACCTCTTCCAAGTGGTCCTGGGCATGATGCACTTAACCATTCCTTAGCACAGTTCAAGAGCTCCCACTACACAAACAAACCAGACCAAAGGGGTGAACCGTGCCCAGGCAACATTAAAACTGCTGTTGTGAGTTCACCCTTAATGTGCTTTTGTTACCATCTCTGTCTCTATCAGAGAAATATCCCATTTCTTCCTGCTCTGTCTGACACTTGTCATCTAGACAAGAAGTAAAAGAATCTTCCTGAACAGGACACAGTACACTGACAAAATGTTCCCCTTCTGTACAAGTTTTTGCTGGATTTAGGTTTAAGGTCTTAAGCCAGCCACACAGGAGTCGAAAACAAAATTCTTGTTGATCGTCAAATTGTTCATTTTTCGCATTATTAGTGGCACAGCTGCGACATGCAATCAAAAGTGCCTGATCCGAAATGTTGGATTTCTTTTTAGAAAAACAAAACAAATGATGGCACAGTCATATGAGCCATTTCCTTTTTTTAATCGAGAGAACATTCGGTTTTTGACTCATCTATGGCCGGCTTTACTCTGATCACTCTGTAATACATACATTCTTTTAGTGCCGCCTCCAGCATTGATGCAGCCTGAGGAATCTCTCCAGAGTCAGCCTTAACGAGAAGCTGTGTTTCCAGTTTCACATCACTCCCACCGCATAGGGCAGCCAGTTCTGCAAAAATCTGTAACTTTTCTTCCAAATAGCTGCAGATTTGCTGGTCATGGATGCTGAGGACTTCTACAAGATATAGGAAAAAAATAATTCCTTTGTGAGTTCTCCACCCATCTTTTTAATGTTTGCTTTCACTTTCCTTTTGGGTCGCATCATACTGCAGTACCTAACAGAAATTCTAGTTTATTTCGAATAATACTTTTTAGTGGGACTTTCACAGTTTATTAAAGAGACAATGTCACCTACCTGCCTCCTGATTGTTCCTTTCTGCCCAGGCAAGCTATACTCCTGTAACGGTATCCCAAGTACCCCCTAGATATAGGGGAGCATGTGATCTTCCCCATGTGGCACTGTTTGGGCTTGAACAGCAAGTCACCACTAGATACAGGTCCTGATTTTAAGAAATCTTTCACATATGCCTAAATGTTATAGGCATGGGGATAATATAAATGAGAAGCATTTTTTTTACACACTGGATTACTTAGATGTATGCTTTGTGGCCAGTTCAAGAAAGTGATGCTTATTAGATGTATTTGGGATAAAGCTCACACTCAGGACATTGTTGAATCATTTGAATTTTTTTTTGGTAGGTTTAATGAAAGTGAATACAATTTACTGCCTTACTAACCACTACTAATAAATCTACTAATATATGAGATTACATACAAAGGCAAACAGATACATGTGCACTCTGTTTATTGCTATGACCAGGGTGTTATAGTGACAGTTACTAACAGTTGTGGCTACAGCAAAAATGCTGGGCTTCAACTACCACATCACAGCTTTTGATCACTGTCATTTAATACTGATCACCTGACAAAAACAGGATTGCCTAAAAATACTTCTGCCCTTCAATGCTGAATAAAAGACTGTTGTGCTCAGGGGCGGACTGACAACTCATGGGCCCTGATCATGGGGCCCCTGTGTCCTTGCCCAAACTCAAAAAAGCCTATGAAAAAGGTACCAAGGGCATCTCATGGGGCCCCCTACTGACTCCGGGCCCTCGGGCAGTGCCCGAGTTTCCAAATGGCCAGTCCACCCCCGGTTGTGCTCAGCTCTATACAACTGGATGTAAAATATTAAATTTCTGCTCTATGTAAATCAATCATGAAGTAAAACCACAATTAGAAATATAATTACGTCAATGTTCAGTATTATCACCAGAGAGAACAATATTCCTAAAAGCAGTATTGAAATCTAATGCCCTACTTTCAAAGTTTTTTTGCTTTTCAAAGTCTCTATATACAGACATCATTCACTGCCATATGCAGTCTTGGACAGGGGGTGAGATGGTGGAGCGCTAGGTATGTGTTTCAAAAAGTGGTTGTAAAAGATCAAAGTTTTTTACCTTCATGCATTTTACGCATGAAGGTAGAAAACCTTCTGTGTGTAGCAGACCCTCCAGCCCCTCCAATACCTACCTGAGCCCAAATCAGCGATGTGCCTCAGCTGTTCCGGGTCTCTTCATCCTCATTGGCTGAGACAGCAACAGTAGCTATTGGCTCCCACTACTGTCAATCACAGCCAGTGAGTCAATGAGGAGAGAGTGGTGGAGGGAGAGGGGGGGTTGGAGGGCCAAGTCGCATCTGTGTGTGAATGGACACACAGAGTAGCGGCTCGGGAGTGAACCTGCTTGGGTGCTTCCATGGCAAGCAACTTGCTGTGGGGGCACATGGCAGGATGGAGGGGCCAGGAGTGTTGGTGGGGGGGACCAGAGAATAAGAGGATCGGGGCTGCTCTGTGCAAAACCACTGCACACGGCAGGTAAGTATGACATGTTTGTAAATTTAAAAAAAAAATCTGCCTTTACAATCTCTTTAAGACTTTGAACCTCACTAGTGAGCCTACTTACTCACCTTGATACTTCTGAGCTTTGGCTGCTCGTGCGTCTGCAGCACGTCTGTCTTCATCAGATTCACTGATTTTTCCTTCATCTTCTTCTGGACAGCTTTGGAAATAAAACATGGTGAAAAAATAAAGAACTTTGTGTATATTTTCAAAAATAAATCAATGAAGTCTATTGAAATAACATTCTAAATGATTTTGTACAATGAATTGTTCTGTTATTTGCCATTTTAGGATAAACGAGGCTCAGAAAAGGTGCTTGCTGTAAGAGCAGTAAGTGGAGAATAATGTAATGTACACATTAAATTGCACAACAGTTGATTAGTCACCCAAATGAACTATATCCCTCATTAACATGCAAAGCCGCTGGATGTGCTGTATAAACTGTGTGTAGATGAGGCTACATACAGCACTGTGTTCTGGGTGCGAGCCAAGACTTCTCTCAGATCCGGAGTCTGTATACAACCTATGCAGTGTATAGAAATGATATTATTACCTCTGCACAGCTTCCTGTATCTGCCTCATCCATGTGTTTCGTTCCTCTTTGGAATTTGTGTGAATTTCATACATTTCCGGTCCAGCCGATGATGCACTTATCAGAAACATCCCACGCTCCTCATTGGCTACTTCCCTCACTATCAGTTTTTGCAGGGAAATTACTGGAGGTTTCTGATCCTTTATAAAAAACACATAAATAACCCACACTTAATAACCATTACAAATAGTAGACAGAAAAGACAGTCGTTCAGAATATTTGACAGTTCCACCACAGTCAGAGATACCAGTCTGAAAACCTTATCCAACAAAACAATGCTGAGCCTACAGAAGGAGAGAAAGTGAATCCGTGAGGATAGATAGTCACAGAAACACAAATAACAGTGGGATTATGCTGCGTTCCACTTCCCAGCCTCCTGCGACAGACGCTGAACAGCTCCCTTAGCTAATGCTGGATACAGACACCAGTTTATCCCAGCAAACACCACAGATTAATGACTCACTGGACTCCCTGGCTTTTGATGAGCTTATTACAAGTCACCCCTATGTGAATTGCCTAACCCTTTAACCAGTACATTTATTGGAAGTCTACACTTAGAGGTGCGGTTTTCTTTTCTCTCTATATGCTTCCCCAGAGTTAGCTTCTACTCTGCATACAGCTTGCCCTATGTGGATGGACTTTGTATCCCCTTTTGGACTTTTATTTGGACCAATACTCTCGCTCCCTGCGCCTATAATCCCACTGCTATTTGTACTTTTCTGAAGCTTTCATTGTCGACATGAATTGTGGGTCAATATTGTCCTGATTGTTTTATACATAGATCTGTATTTATAATTATTGATTTTTTTATACATTAATATTTTATGTATACCTAAGACTAGCTTATTTGTTATGGAACTAATCCTGGAGATTGAGTCTCACAAATTTGGTATCCTATAGGATCTGTCTACAGCTCTCCCTTCCACCATCTTATGTGGGTAATGCAGATTGAATAGACACACACGCTTTGCCCTGTGTGACAAATTTAAAAAGCTGGAGAGAATTATTAATTCCAGCAATTTTTTAGTGGTGGGATGAGTTCTTTCTCAACCAGTATAAGGAATATAAAATCTCTCCTAGAGGCCTTGGCAAAAAAGGGCAATTCTTTAATATTCTATTACCTTTCCAAAAAAAGTGAGGAGGTACATCTGAATTTTGCTAGCTCAAATGGATGGAGATTCTCATATCTCATAGACACTCCAAATTTGAGCAACTTACACACCAGGTACAAATAATATCCAAAGAAATTGCAAATATGGATACTTCCATTCCTTGTGCCTGGTTTGATGCTCTCAAAAAGAATACAAAAACAATGAAGACTTTTTGATAAAGACCAAACTAAAAAAAATTTAGTAGGGCTCTAGATGACTACAACAGCAATAAGGTATTCAACTGGAAATGACAAACCCATAAGTTACCTTCCCTTCTTACTCTGGATCCCCTTATTGTTCAGCCATCTACTTCTGTTCAGACCCCATATTCAGCTATTACATCCATATCTCAGCTAAACAATAAAAACACATATACATTTGTTTCTAAAGGTACAAAATCTTCTAAAAACAAAAAATCCAAAAACGGGAATCATTTGTCCAAACATACCCATAAAGACCAAGCTTACCTTTCTACCAACACCAATACCCCTCTCAACACACAAAATGTCACAAGTATTAAGACCTCCTTAGAGGAACCTAATCTGCCTAACCATTGCATTTCCATACCAACATTATCCACTACAGATAATTTTGCTTCTACCCCACCCAAATCCATCTCTCCCCAAAGCCTACCCAATACCACTCTATCTGATAACCAAAATGGGTTTACATCTTCTGCCCCACAGACTTTTTTTTTCATCCCTGGGTGCCCCCTCAAGCCGCCCCCCAAAAACGAAAATTCATTGGAGAGGATGCAGAGGGGGACAAAACAAGCCTAAGAAAAAAAAAAACACAAACAGCTGAAACTATAAAAATTAGGGATGTGCATATCAGTATGGGTGCCAATTCAGAGTATATTCATGAGTATTCGTACTCGTGAAAATACTACTGATAGCTTAACCAATACTTTGCGGTGTGATCTGTGTTAATGGACACAAATTGCACTGCAAAGATTAGCACATGATTTGAACAAGAATGCGATTCCTGTACAAATCGCAAGTGGTTTTCCCCACTGCTCCTGTGTGAACTCAGGCTTGCCATACCCCAATTTCACACAGGAGCGGTGCGGGAAACCTTCTTACAGGCATCCCATGCTGAGTGCCAGTGGTAAGAGAGGAGAGAAAGAGGCAGGAACTTGAAATCCCAGACGCTTTCTTTCCTCTCCTTGCAGCCATGACAGTTTTGGCTAGATGGCATCTGATTGGTCAGCAGCTGACCAATCTTGTGGATTTTACAATTATATATCTTATGAACCAGTATAGCTAGGACATTTATCATCCACGTTTTTCCATTCATATTGCTATATATTATCCTATCATGTATATATAAATGTTCCTTTATATTCCTTTTACTGTAATGTGTTTTGAAATATGTGTCCACTTATTTATATTGTATGATCCTTTGCGATTTGTGCACCAATCAGAATGCCAAATCTTCCTTCTGCCCCTATTATACGATCATCATTAGCTGTATCCATTGGCTTGACAATGGAGCGCGCATGTCTGTTTGTGACTTCGTGCATGCTATGAAACACGTTGCAGCCCCTGGTGATGTCACGACGCCGAGGTCCAAGTTGCGTTCCACCTCCCGGCCTCCTGCGATAGAGGCTCCAAACAGCTCCCTCAGCGCACACCGGATACAGACACCGGTTTATCCCAGCAAACACCACAGCTTAATGACTCATCAGACTCCCTGGCTTTAGATTACCTTATTACAAGCCACCTCTATGTGAATTGCCTAATCTTTTAACCATTAAATTTTATTGGAAGTCTACACTTAGAGGAGCAGTTTTCTTTTCTCTCTGTATGGTCACAGAAACACATAGTACTGGAAGGAGAGACTTATATAAAGATGAGAAGGAACCATAGTTTTAGAATGTATGATTCACTTGTAATGTACAGCGCTGAGCGAACTATTGGCGCTTTATAAATACTGTATAATAAATAATAATAATTCACCGGTAATTAAAATTAGTGTTTCGAAGTACTGACCAACGTACGCTGACTTTTTTTTTTACCATAAAATCCTTTGCTACAGTGGCTCATTAGGGGTATATTCTTTCACCTGTGAGTAAACTACCATCTGCAGGTAGCTGAAATATAGCAAAACAGGACTAGCTCCCGATGGTTATACCCCAGTGCATACTAATGAGCGTGGTTGAAGCAAGCAGTGAGAAAAGGTGATGTTTTCAGAACAAAAGAATACAAAAAAGGAAAACGAACAGAGGTCCTGCCTTGCCATAGACCCCGGGGCAAAAATGCTGCATTGAACGTACAGATCTGCGGGTCTAACATAACACTATACAAAAAAAAACAATCCACAGCGAAGAAAACATACTTGCCCTGGAGTAGCCTCTGTGCAAGAACAGCGAAGGGTCTTTGTACCAATGTAGGTTAATACTGGAAGATACTGTACAGTTGGTTTACTAAAACTGGAGAGTGCAAAATCTGGTGCAGCTCTACACAGAAACCAATCATCTTTCAGGTTTTATTGTCAAAGCTTAATAAAACAAGCTAAAGTTAGAAGCAGATTGGCTACCATGCACAGCTGCACCATATTTTGTACTCTCCAGTCTTAGGAAATGAACCCCTGTGTGTGATGGCTGTTGGAGTAACAAACTAACTACCAGGAACTTCTTGATTGAAGAATTATCTGGAAAAAACAGTCTACCTCCTCAGGACACTCAGCTAAATTAGATTCATTACTATATGTGAGAATATTTCGTGTTCCAACCCCTCCAGATGGTGTCAATATATCCCCAGCTGAAATAATATTTAGTGCTGTGTCCTCCAACAAATGGTGGAATAAAACAATTACCATTCAGTTTTTTTTTCTGATTCATTATTGCATGTTTGATTTGGAAGCAACTTGTTTATTTATTCCTCATTTTTTTTAAACAAATTTGCAGGTTTACCTTCCAACTGATATGTCAGAGACAGCTGTCAGCACCTATGCAGCACAAGTGCTGTAAAAACAATTATGAGACTAGCAAATAAACCAACTAGACTGTCTCACATTTCATGGAAAATCTGCTGAGAGAACTCCACTCCCCATGCAAGGACATGAGAGGGCCTGTAACCCAAAATGACCATTCTTCAGCATTTGCAATTATACAGTATACCCTTTGTAATTGTCTGCATTCCTGCATGAATGGCTCCTGTAATATAGTCAGAGCTTCAACTGAATCACAGTATTAGACAAACATAATCTACATAAAATAAAGTAGAATGTCTTTACTGAAAACATTTTCTTAGCCAGAGGTCACTGATGTGTCTAGATGCTCAGGCCAAATTTAGCAGTGTTAACGTGCTGATTAACATTAACAATAAGGCTATGATTAATTTGGATGCCTAAATCTTTGTATAGATTTTTACTGACATATAAAACTTTTATTTGGTATACTGCTTTATTAAAAATACCCTGCTTTGCTTTTGTGATAGTCTGATAAATGTGCAACATTTATTTTTAAATTATTTTATTTTTAATAATACAGCTGTATCTAGCAGTCACAGTTTAAAGAGTTCAAATGTAAGTGCAGCGCTAAAGCATAAGGGACAAATGCAGTCATAAAGTGCTTATGTAAACAGAAGTGTTCATACAATATTCCAGTGAAATATATCAAATAAAACATCTCAGATCACATAGAATCATAAAATCGTAAAAAAAACTCTAAAATTCTGAATATAAAATTGTGGATAGTCCGTGGCACTGCAGGTCACAGAAGTGCCAAGTGATATATATGTGCTTATTTAGCAATAATGGTGATTATACAGTATTAAAGAGGCCACCACAGGTAAATACTGCAGCCTGCAGGCTTTAACTTTATCAATAAAGCCTGTAACCTGTGCCTGAGCTGACATAGTGATCACATAACACTGGAAACCACTCTGAATAGTTCCAGATCATCAGTGAGGACCCCAACTCTCTCTGACAGTTGGGACGGACAAACAGCAGCCAAGCACATCCCAACCAGCTTAATAGATTGTGGGCAGGAAGAGGTTAAACATTCATAGACTAGAAATAATATGTGAACCTCTACATTTAGTAACTGGACTAATCTCCTTTACCAGAAATTTCCTTTAGCTGGTGATTAGACTGATTAGAGCTGCTCAAATTTTATATTGTTCTTTGCACAACTATTTCAATAAACTAATAATACTCAGACTTTTGCATGAAGAGCATTCTTCAGGCCCATGCCACAAAACCTCAGGTAGGTTGTATTCTGGATCTGGCTTTGAAAAGCTAACTGTCTTCTGTTTAAAGCACAACTCCATTCCAACCAGCTAAATAGAAAAATAAGACCTGTTCCAAGAGGTAAACTAACCTAAGAATTACATTGGGATCCAATACAATTAAAGTGTATTTAAAATGAAAACATTTTCATTTTGTTTTGAATTTAGTAGAAAATTAATAGAGCATCTGCCATTTTCTTTACTGCATTTGTCCTCGCTGAGGTTTATGCTCTCTATTTGGACCAGTGGCCCTTGTTACCAAGAAAGTGAGGGGTAAGCTGTCACTGAAACAGGAGGTAAAGGTGAACATTCCAATAGGGACACCAATCCCAATGATAACTGTCTAAGAGGTAGTTTCCCTTACTTTGGAAATATTTCATTCTATGTCCTGTTGCGGCCCCAGGACAGAAAGAAGACTTCTGTAACTAGTGCTCACTATAACCTGAACTAAAAAAATAGCCTTAGATATACTTTAGCATGTTTCTTTTTAAATTTTACAGCAGATGTATCTGCCTCTAAATGTGTCATATACCTCTTGTCCTAAACATTGACTGCTCCTGCCCTTTTATTTTAAAGTGCTTGCAAAGGTAGAAGGTTTTTTTTCTCTGCATTAAGGAAAAAAACCTTCTGTGGGCAGCTACACTCCCCCCCTCCCCTTATATTTACATGAGCCCGATCTCAATCCAGTAATGTACAACAGAGCAGTGGCTCTTTCTCTCCTCACTGGAGACAGAGGCAGCAACAGGAGCCATTGGCTCTTGCTGCTGTCAAACACAGCCACTAAGGAGAGAGCAGGGGGTACACAGAGCACAGCTCAGGATCAAGCTTGGACAAGTGCAATAGCAAGCAGCTTGCTATGGGGACACTCGAGGGGAGGTGGGGTCCAGGATGTCAACGGGGAACCTCAGAAGAGGAGGATCCAGGCTGCTCTGAGCAAAACCAATGCACATAGCAGGTAAGTATGATGTGTTTAATACATAAAAGAAAAAAAAATCCTTTAAAATCTCTATAAGTTCATCTTTCGTAACAGGTACACCCATTTTCAGGGCATACTGTAACACCGGCCCCTGCCCCCCCCCCCTCCTCCATCCCTTCTCCTCTCCCTAGCTCTCACAAATTGAAATAATCGTGGCTCTGCCTGCCCGGCCGCGTCACTCATTTACAGAGTTCTATGAATGGGAAACTACAAGTCTTGACAGCCTTTGCAGCTGTCGGCTTGCAGTTCTCAATGAACCACCACAATACTGTTGAGCGCTGTGGTAGATCATTGCTTCTTCCTGTCAGTTTGAAAATGCTTGCCTGTACTATGTACGGGCTAACAACTAATACTGGCAGTCTGCAGGAGACCTGAAAGGCACCTGTGATCTGCTGATCGCTGGTGCTATGCTTTCCAAGCAAAAAAAAAAAAAATTTTTTTTTTCTTTTTTTAAAGTTAACTTATCCTTTAAGGTGGCAGGCAAGATTAAAACACTTTTCTGTCCAGGATGCTCTCCCACACCCTTCTTTAATATGTAACCCTGGCAAGCTGAGTATGCAGCGAATTCAGTAAAACAAAACCTAAGTATTTACAGAAAAGAAGGAATGTCAACACAGTGCTAAACAAATCATATTGGGCTGCTATTTAAAACTGTTTATGAAAAGTATTCAGTGCATTTTCCCTTTGAAAAGAAATCTGAAAACCTGATTAAACAGGAGACAAAATTCTCAGAGTCAGCAAGTCTGGAAACAGAAGAGTGCTTACAGTTGCCAATAAACCTCTTGACTTATTGGCTCTAACTTTTTTCATCACTAGTTTATTAAAATCACTTTTTTTTTTCCAAGATACATGAGCTATATAACTTACCACAGCAGCAAATATATACTTTTGGTCTTTTTCTTGAAGAAACAGCAACACGTCAGTTAAAAGTAGAGCTTGGATATCTAAAATATAGAAAAATAGGTTTAAGTTTTGAAACTTTTCTTCAAATAAATATTTATTAAGAGTCTGAATCAAGATGTGTGAAGCCAAGCATTGACTTGTAGTTTTCCTGTTCCAGAATGAAACTCTCCCAGCAAAAACAACACAGCCGTGTACAATACAGGTTAAGATCTCACAGCCAACATGGTGTCTGCGGTACATAATCCAGCGTAACCAGTTTCTTTCAGGCCTGCATTGGCTATAAACGTCTCAGTCCAGAGCACAAAGACTGAAAGACATTAAGCTCCCAACAATATGCCATTATGTGAATTTTCGGCACGCAAACAGGAGTTTGGTAGTTTAGTTTGCCAAATGTTTTATGATACCCCCTACTAGCCCTCCCACATTTCAGAATTAACAGAAACAGCCCTATTCTCTCAATGTATACACGCTTGGCTGAATCTTACATAAAACCACACAAGTAGTAACATGGAGAATATTGGGTCTTTTGGTTATATTGCATCATGGAAAATAGAAAAGGCAAGATCTGTCTTGTGAGAGGTTGACTATGTACCAAAAACAATTATTTTACAAGGTGACTTTACCAATTCTTGAAAAAAATGATTTGTGCTTTTGATTATGAAATGGTAAGAATATAATTAACAGTAGACAGAATTACGAGTCCTATATCACTCTGTAGGAACTGGACTACTTGCTGCCAGAACCCTTGGATAACCCTTGGATAACTGGACAAGGCCAGATAAGGTAAAGGACCCCCCGGTGTGTTATTGCACTTGGGGTAACAAAATACCAGTGTTATTAAGGTTAGGTATGTTTTAAGTAAAATATACAACTGACATTGATTATATCAGTGGTCTCCAAAACTGTGCCCCTTTGCTTGTCTTTATCTGGCCCTGGGGACACTTTTCCACCAATGATGGGACACCATTTCACCCACTGACAATAACAATGGCACTATTATTCTCATACCAACAAAGGGGCCTTCTTCCTGCCATTAAAACTAATGATGGGGCATGGTTTATGCCCACTGATGCTGGGGCATTTTCTACTACCATTGGCCATAGTTCAGCCCCCCTAAAGGCTGACGGTAAACTGGCCCTTTGCTTAGAAAGTTTGGAGACCCCTGGTTTATATGAATATATAAATGAGATCAGCTTATGCAAATCCAGGCCCTCATCCTAATTTGTCAGTTTCTTTTCCCAACAGGTTTTTTTTTTTTTTTAATAAGCAAGTTTGTAGGCCAACACTATAATGTAGAGAGAACAGAAATGCCTCTTAGAGGAGGAGGAACTGTATATATTTAAAAGGAGGTTTTGGTTAAGGGAGTCTTATCTGTTTGTGAATTGTTAGGAAAATCCTCTATAAGCTGTTAAATATATTAAAATTCTGAACTGTTCACAATTTGTTCCAACTAGAGGATACCTCGTGAGTATTACATTTTATAATATGAGTTTGCCGAAAAGTACAATAGCTGGGCTCATTAACAAATGATAACTGTTTGCAGACTATAACTCGTGTCTTATAGTTGTAGGCTAAAACCAGAATAAAGGCCTATGTATTGGTGCAGGCCTTGCATTCATGCAACATCACATTTTGAGGGTTGGGGAACATCAGGTCTGAGGGCATTGTGGTTAGGTTGTACAATCTAAACTAATTTAACTGTAGGTATATTAGGGAATGCTAGAGAGTTTATAATACTTTTAGAAAGGATATTTTATTTAGCTTGATGCAACCTGTAACAGTAAAGGGTAAAGTATGCCAGACTTTAAAGTGAATCTGAACTCAAACTCCATGTTATAGAGAACATTAAAATGGTTTTTGTGCCTTAAAAATAGTCTGAAAACTGTGCTTTTTTTTTTTTTTTACTTAATTGCTCCCAAAAAAATTTGCAGTGCAGATCTTAGTATGTATGTGAGGGTGCCTCAGCACTCCCATGCTTACACCATCATAGCAGTATATCCGTAGAGTTCTCTAAGGCACTGCTGCTCCTGACAGTCACAGGAGATTAGGAATGATATTTGGGTATGTCACTACTCTGCCGCTCACTGTACTTCTTGCTGAGGAAGCAAAGCCCTGCCTCTATTAAGATGGCCATGTCCACAGAAAGACAATGCAGAATAAGGCATGATGAATCAGTAATGGAGAAAAGATCACCTGCAGAGATACAACAGGCAGCACTAGTCACTAATCCTTTGCCTTCGTCTACAATTTTTAAAACACAGCTTCCAGAGTTTAGCTCCTCGTCAATCTGCTCTTCAGTCATTTGTGTTCAGTTTGTATTAAACAGTAGAAAATCTGCGCAAAGTATTTTGAGATTACACTGCCAAGTTATGTGAAGGATTTGATCCAGATCAGGGGTTCAGCAAGCTCCTTGGCAGTAGGAACTGATCCAAGGAAAGGATATAAGGTCTGTTGACTTTTAAATCACAGAATAGCCTAGGTCCAACAGAACTGACCACAGCAAGAAAGAATCTCAAATCCTACGCTGATTTCTTCACACAGAAGAGATATGGCTATTCCATTATTCCAAAAGAAATCATAAGATGCACTGGCCCTCTCACATTCGGGCTGTAAAACTTATTCCCCCACCAGTCGGCTCCATCTTTTAATAACAGACTAATGATATGTGTGCTTACAAAAGTCTATGAGACACAGTAACCTATGGATCACAATAGCCATTTCCTTCTGCAAAGTTGTTTTTACGTTATCAATTCTCTGTACAGTAAAGTGATTCACTGGCAAAAAAGTGCTATATAAAGAAATTATTATTATGAATATATTTAATGTTATCAGTGAATACCTTTAAATCTCCCTGTGGCAGTTTTCCACAGAAGGACACCTTCATACAGTAGCACCCGCTCTTTATTCTTTAGGTCTTGCTTTGTAAAGACATGTCCATTCTTCATCTTGGTGAAGGTCTTGTTCTCAATCTTGTTTACAAACTCTTCAAGTCTTTGTTTTCTCTCAAATTCACTGACTTTGAGGTCCACTGCAGCAATCATGTCCTTGATTAAGCACAGGGCCCGGCAAAGATCCTTGTGCTCGTCATTTCCCTCTAACAAAAAGACATGAGAAGTGTTATGAAGAAACAAGACTATTTACACATTGATTTACATATATTGTATATTCACAGCTTACAGTCTAAGGTCCCTAATGCCTGGTACATACTACGAGAGGGGCTCATGAGGAGGTCTCTGTACTAACTATACAACGTTAGTACAGCAATCTCCCCGCTAAGCTATTGTGTTCTGACATGGGGACCACCGAGCTGAGAGTGGTGATCAGATGCTGATAGCCAGATTTTTTTCTGGCATGCCTGTTCTACAGAAGCTGGACATTTGGCTGGCTTCTGTTGGACAGGCTGCTGTACACACGGGCCAAATGTCAGACGGTTTCTGTTGAACCGGCCTATATTCGTCCCTTATCTACCAGACAGAGCCGGTGCTTCCACTAGACAAACTAGGCAGCTTCCACCTAGGGGCGTCTGGGTGCAACACAGGCCGGCACTCTCTCTGTGTGGCCTATGGACCTCTTGTATGAATTCTTAATTTCTCTGCAGAGTCCCCCTCTCCTCATACACAGGGAATGATGGTATCTTCTTTACTTTGCACAATTGTCTCACAGCCTGTCCACACACACACATGACCATTTAGTACATATACACACACACACGACAGTATTCCATGTAACAGTGAAGTGCTGACTCCCTCTAGGATGGGAAGTGATGACATTAGCCCAGGACCCTGAGCGATCAGCAGTCTCTGATTGGAGGATCGGTCCATACATCTCCGGTACACACACTGGCACACACGATCCTCAAGCTGTAACAGTGAGCCGGATATAGACTGAACGGGGCGTGTCCATCGCTGGCTTCGCCTTCTACACAGCTGCAGCCAATCAATAATGGGGGGTGTGCTGTGGTTGCAGGGTTAACCCTATGTGAGTAGGACGATCAGGGCCCTATGTGTATGAAAGGGAAGCGGTATAGTGCTGGGAGGCCGCCTGTCCTCACTGAGAGCCGCATCCTGGACTCCTCACCCTGACAGGAGCCATCAACAGTGAGCAAAGTCTAGGCGAATTGCAGGTCATGGAGGTGACAGGAGAATGAGGGGGCGGATACTGGTCTGGGTGCCGATTGGTCGTGTGGGACGCCGCCACGTCATGAAAGATCTGTCAGCTGAGGGGAGGGGCAGCAGAGGGGGAAGAAGAAAGGACAAAGCAAGATGCTGGGTGTCTGGGGCCAGTGTAGCAGCTGAGCTGCCACTCCTTCCAGTGTTTCTCTCAGACTCAGTCCCTTACTGTAAGCCGGCTTCCAGCTACTGATCACTGGAGTTTTGTAAATCTGTCTCTTTTTTGGCTTCTGTCTGATTGGTTAATGCAGTTAATTTATATTTGGTTAATATATATTTTGTCGTTAATATTGCTTCTGGTGGCATCTTATGGCACTTATTTTTGCAGATTAAAAGAAATTTAGCAGTTTCAGAATTTGTTGATCTAATATTTTCTACTATTATTACATTTTTTTTTTTTTTTTTTTTTTTTGGAGAGGGGGGGGGCACAAGTAGCTGGCTTTGCCTAGGGCGCAAAATAGTTCAGCACCAGCCCTGGTACCAGGAATAGTTCACTTATACATACACATACTAGGGCCAATTTAGACAGAAGCCAATCTACCTACCAGCATGTCTTTAGACTAGAGGGATTTACAGCCCTGAGTTAATTTTCTTAAACAGAGTAGCAAAGCATTACGAGAGGTCTTGCTCTTATCTACAATCATATGCACTAAGAATGACAATTTAGGGAAAGTTTAACCACAGACACGCATAGAACTGAACAGATGCTATGAATGCACCTCCTTTGACAGTCAAACAATTTCACCAGTGCTAAAGTAATTGCTGGTCTTTTTTTACTGAGCTGCTAGTTGCCTGGCTGTTTCTGGATTCAATACTTTTGGAGTCACTGAACTGGAACAAGCATTCAACAAGTGAAGACAAATATAAGTCAGAGCTCATGATCTGCATACTGGTTCAAGATCAGCTACTCGGAAAGTATTGAATATTTTGGATAAGTATAGTAGTCAGACAATGAACAATTCAAATTTCAAATTTCAGCACTGGCAGCTTACATATTTTATCAGTACAAATTTCTTTTAAGGACAAAAGTCTTTAGCTCTCTCTTGGAACTTTAAGCGACTGTAAACATATTTTTTCAAAAAACAAACATATCATACTCAGCCCAATCCTCAACTTCTGGGGTTCCCCACCAGCGCTCCTGACACCCCCCCCCCCCTTCCCGTGCTGAGTGCCCCCATAACAAGGCCCCTGCTATGGGGGCACTCGGCGGGCTCTATCCCAAGCCTCATTGTCTGTTTCTGTAGGCACACAGATTGCAGTGACTCAGCCCAGCCCCCTGCTCACTGGCTGTCCCTGATAGCAGCAGGAGTCAATGACTCCCACTGCTGCCTCCATATACAATGTGGGGGAAAGAGAGAGAGGAGGGAGCCACTGCTTTCCAGAGGATGCATTAAGGTAAAAAAAAAAACCTACCTTTACAACCACTTTAAACCGCATCTCCAGGCATGATAGTTTCTTACCATCTTAGTAGTTTGCTGCTGCTCTAAATCTCTCTGTAATCAAAATTAAATCTTGGTCCTGCTAGATAGTGGAAGGTCTTCTGTACTTTTGCCTAGCTGCCAAAAACACTCTCTCCTGTGGGCTTTGTTTACACTTGTGGTTGGAGGGTGGTAAACACACATGGTTAAGCTACATTTTTACCACTCCCAATTGCTCCTCCTTAAGCTGAAATGGCATTGGATGGGAATGTACATATGCTGGGGCATTTTGCATTGTGGTAAAAATAATCTATCCCCACCCACAGGTAACATTCCATGTGCAATTACTTGCAGACAACTGCAGCAGCTGTCAGGTTATTGCTTTGTACAGGCTGATTTATTAAGCTCTGGGGAAAATTCCTTTGCAAAATGCAACTTCCCATGCAAAGTGAACCGTCTATTTCTGATCTAAACTATATAAATTTGAAATAAGATTAGAGAGTAGAAAAGAACAAGCAGTATGTAGTGCTATTAGGTTTGAAGTACAGCTTGTGTATTTATTGTGGAAATGCAACCTACTCCCATATATAAGTACATAGAGACCCAGTATGTAAAATATTAACAAACACTCATGAGGGTTAACAAATGCTCATAAGGGTGTTTACATTTTAAAACAAGTGACAGTTACCAGCCTAGAGATTTTACACTGACCTGGAGTATAGCGCAATATCCTCTCCACAAGAACTGGATATTTGGTGATACGCTGTGTTACTAGAAGAATACATTCAGGGATACCTCTGCGACGAGCTTGCAGATTGCTGTTTGTCACCTTTAAAAACAAAATAAATTATACAGAGATAAAAGTCTTTAGACCAATCTACAAGCTGCAGCTTCAAGCAATTTTAATCTCAAAAGTAAACGTATTATATTGCAGCTTACCAATTCTTAGATGTGAAGGATGCATTATTTTTCTTTTTTAAGCTCTCTCTCTTCTATTATCATCTAGTGATCCAGCTAGAAAGTCAGTAGTTTTTCAACAAAAAAAGCTCTCTTGCAGTTACAGGGATGAGATGTACCATTTAACTCTGGCAGTGGTGCTTACAATGATCAGCTTTTATTTACTGAATGCAAAACCTTTATCCTAAAATGTAAAAACTGTTTGCTGTAACTGATTATAACATATTAGCTGAAGTTTACCTACAATTTTTTAGTTTATCTAAATCTGCTAGTCCATCTAACACTCCCCTCCCCCCAGGTAGACAATGCTGCCGCCCAAAGGTGCCCCCTGTGCTCCTTCATCCAGAGTGGGAGCATTCTAATACAGGAGGCGTGTTATTGGTCAAATCACCAGGTGAAAACAGAGGGAAGAAGCCTAAAAAAAACGAAAACACATACAGCCACCACATCTAATGATTGTTGTAATATATTACATTTTTGTTTTTTTAATTGCACTTTCATTCTATCAGAGTTACTGTCTAATAACATAAAAGGCCACAGGATGGCAGTGCAGTATTGGAATCTGCTTACAATTCCATTGGCGAGTCACAGAAAACAATTCGATGTCCTCGCATGAAACACTGTTAGCTTGTTAACTAAAGTGATCAGATACATCATGTGTACCGTTTCAGGTTTTGTATGTGCAATTCGGATAAAAATACACCTTGTGATATCAAAATAGTCTTTTCTAATAAACCTCTGTGTGGGAATACGAAAAATATTTTTTTAAAAGGTATGTAAAGGACATCTAAAAAAAGAAAGACAAAAAATCATATTAGTAAATAATCCTTTGGAATAATTTTTTTTCTTTGAATGCTGTTACTTTTTTTCTTCACTACCTGTCTACCTTTGATTAACCAGATGGTCTTAGATTGTAAGCTCCAAGGAGCAGGGCCCTCCTAACCCTTTGGTATTGAACTGTATTGTTGCAGTATTGTCTACCTTTATATTGTAAAGCTCTGAGCAAACTGTTAGCGCTTTATAAATCCTGAATAATATTAATAATGGACTATAGATCATGTCCATGATGTGACTAAATGGTTAGCACTTTCGCCTGGCAGTACTAGGGTCGTTGGTTTCGAATCCCAACCATGGCAGCACCTGACTGGAGTTTGCATATTCTCCCTGTGCCTGCATGGGTTTCCTCCCACACTCCAAAGACATGCTGGTATGTCAATTGGCTCCTGTCTAAATTGGCCCTAATATGTGTATGTATGAATGTAAGTTAGGCACCTTAGATTGTACGCCCCTTGAGGGTTATGGACTGATGTGAATGTACAATATATATATGTAAGCACTGCGTAAATTGACGGTGCTATACAAGTACCTATAATAAATAAATAATGATATGCCTATCCACCT